AAAATTAGACACGAAAGAAAACATCTGCCGAGTTTATTGCACTTGGTGCTTTCAAGACATAAGCACCACTTCCGGGTTGAATAAATTTCGCTCAAAAAAGACTCAATGAACGCTCAATGAACGCCCGAATGTTACCTTAATTGCACTAACCAGTTATTGTGTGCCTTCTACTCTTGTCACAATTTGAACGTCCTTATATCCCAATGCGTAAATAACCGTATTCCCCGTCAAAATCGGCGGCGAAATTTAATCTTTATGTAGAAACAACAATGCAGTGAAAGACGAAAGCGAAAGTAGCTGCAGCTTTCTTTCATTACACCCGAGACACTGAATAAGCATCACGTGAGTATATGTCACATAAGTACGTCACGCAACTGTCTTGTAATAAACCAATGAAAAAATATCAGCAAAATTTTCAGCGGTCACTTCTGATGATGTATGTTGTAGCATTCGAAAAGTCAAGCCAGTAAATATATAATTTTAATCAGGAGCCTATTACTGTTTTCACACTTTCATTATGTTTGTTACCGCAGTTTGCGTATTACTTTTTGCTTTCACCAGATTTCATTTCGCAAAATGCTAACAAAGAAAAAGGTACCAGGGGAAATTAAAATAGTGCCAACGAGGTTTCATTTGGTAGCCCATATCTGTAAACACAACAAACAGTTCTTGAAACGCCACAAAATATTCCTCGAACAAAACGGACACTCTTCCAAACACAACACGGTATTATCTAAACACAACAAAAGTTTATCGAAACACAACACGGATTATTAAAACACAACACAATATTTGCAAAACACAACACGATATTGGCTGCGGCCGCACTTGGGGACTTTACCGAGTTATTTGTCAACTCGTTTAAAAGAACTGCGAGTGCGGCCGGGTTTCCTACAGTCTTAACCGAGTTCTAACCGGGTTACGCAAATCAAGCCGGAACAATAGATTTTCTTAACCAGGTTAGGTTTTTTTAAACCACCTTGCGAGGTAGTTTAACGCAGGTTAACCTTATCAATCAGTCTATCATCTCCACCTACGCGTGAGAATGGTCCAAATTTTGGCTTTACCATGCACGCAAGCACAGTTTCGAAATTACTTCTTTCGCTCCAAGTTCAGTATTTCTTTCTTGGTAACACAATTGAGTTAAGACTAGAGTTAAGAAGTCGACCTCTTTTTCTCAGTAATACGGGGTCAAATTTTGTCAGTCACTCTTAGGCGAGCGTTATGAGTGACTCCAGCGAGCGAAAGAAAAAACAAAAAAAATGCGCAACATTGAATGACTTTGTGAAAGTCTAAACAGAGTCCGGCCGCTGATAAAAATTAACCTGGTTAAACTCTTTTAATCAGGTTACGTTCTGAAGAATTTTTTACCGGGTTTTTCAAAAACTAACCCGGTTAAGTTGCCAAGTGCGGCCGCAGCCATTTGCGATTTCTCCCGATTACGTAATGCAAGATTTGTTACTATACAAAGCATGAACCCATATTTACTCAACCGCTGACATTTTATGGGCCTTGATTGCAAACTCCCGCCGCTTTCTTTGTTATCCTCGCATACCTAGTTTCTGAGACAGCGAAAAAATGGTTTCTTTTAACTTGTTTATTTTTTCTTCAGATTTTTACTGACAAAAATACCTATGCTTACATCTTTTTAAGCAAATACTAACTTTTTTTATTAAATAGGCAACACTTTAATATTATTTTGTTACCAAGAATTCCAAAGACTGTTCCCCCGGGATAGATAGGTAGTGAAATGGTATACTCGTGAAATCAGTCACTTCTTTCTAATTTGACTCGTCTAAAGCTATAAAGACTGCTAAGGCTAAAAAAATTTGTAGAACCTAGATAAAACACGCTTGGAATTAGTTCCTATAGTTTCAGGTTTCACCGTTCAATGGCCGTTCAATTGTACACACTGCGTTCAATGCCAAAAAACAGGTCTATTAGTGGATCTTTCCATATTACTTGTTCAGTGGAATGGTTTCATGAACCTGACCACTGCGATGAACGAACGTAATGCTCTGCTCCATTGAGCTCATCAAACCAACTGCAGAGCAGGAAAAATTTGAGTTCCCAGTATATACCCGATGGTGCGGGAGGGAAATGTCTTAGAATATATGAAAATATAGATCATATTTTGAATTGTGGGTGGAGCATTGCCCGCTTTCACCACAAAGGTCGGGGTTTGATTCCCAAGACTGATCGATTTTTCAGGTTTTTTTATTACACCAACTGATTCAACTGCGTGGTTCACCTACACTCTCACCCTTGCATCCTCAGTTAATATTTGATTTATTAATATGTTCTAAGTCATTTCATAGCTATATTGATGAACATAAAAGTTTTCACCACTTCTGTACTGGGGGAAATTCATGAGTAAAAATTTGGATGGTTTTGGGAACTTTGAACGCTGCCCAACAAAACAGCTTCTTGCTGAGATACATAAAAGCACCCATCATTCCGCAACCCATAATTAAATGATAAAGCCTGGTTGATTTCGTATTTTAAAATCAAGGTACCGACTGCGATCATAAATTGTTATCTGCGCTTTGTAAGGGTTATAATCATCACTGACGTAACCTTGTCGGTGAAGCAGTTTGCCAAACGCCAGTCCCTCTGAAGTTTGCATTTTGACAACAAAACGACTTCCCTCTCTTGGAGGAGGAGATGCATAAAGTGGTCCCGTTGGCTCCAGACTCGGATGTGTTTGGGTAATGTACGTGAAGCGTGGATCTTTCTCTGGATCGTTCACTGGAATCCAAATCTCGATGGTATTTATCTGCCTTGTAGCTTTGCAGACGTTTTTGTGACTACTCCAGTGCGATCTCTGACATTCCTTTCCACAATACCGTGCAGTCTTACAACCTTTGCAAGACAGCAATTTCGGATCATATCGAAAGCAAAAGGCACAGTTTGTTTTCAAGGATGTTGCGTGCAGGTTTATTTGGGTATGTCATTTTGGTGACACTGATTGTTGGATCTGTACAACGCTGAAACTGCATTAGGAAGGGAAACCTCAAAAGCGTCTTTATCGCCCCTCAGAACTGCCTCACCCTTCGTTGCCTCATGCATTTCAAAATAAACTCGGAGCTCCTTTGGAAAAGAAATGACTTCAAAATATTTCAATCCTTCATGAAATACCGGTCCATAGTTATGATGTATGACATTGCCTTCCACAACACATGGAGCTCTCCCTGGACTGTGCCTACCAACACTAATTCCACCCATCTTGTTGTTGCATATCTCATTGCCTTTGTAGTAACCGCCTGAATTGCACTCCACCCATACTCCCCACCAGAAGTTTTCAAACACCGTGTTCTCTTCAAATAATTGTTTGCGTAAAATTGTACACGAATGCCATACGTACTGTTGTGATAGATTTTATTCCTCCGTATGACCACTGCTTCGAATGATAAACTAAGATCATGACCTACCACAGAGACACCATCGAATTTGTTGTCAAAAATCTCGGAATTTTGTATAAGGACCCTCTTTGATATGATGTCGTTATATTTAGTTCCAGCAACAATAATACCCTTAGTGTTCCCGTGAACCTGGCACTCATTTACTTCTAAGCTTCCTTGATCTATCACCTTTATTCCAGATGATGTCTCTGCTCCTCTACCATTTCTATTCACTTTGCAGTTTATCAATGAAGCTAACGCGGTGCTATATTCGACCGTGATTCCTCCCCCGGGGCTGTCAATGATAGAGCAATGAATAAACTTTGCCAGTCCGTAAACAACAACGGCTGCGTCCAACGTACAACTGCTCTTAAATTTACAGTTGGTGAACTCTACGTCGCCATCCTCTTCAACATAAATAGTTCTTTGGGTTAAAAATGAAACATTGTGTACAAAACACTCCCCCATGAAATAAAGTCCGCCACAGTTTATTGTCACTTCGGAACCCTCACAACAGGCTGCTAAAGTTGTGCCTACAATTGCATTAGAGCCATCGGCATTAATCAAAACCTTTGTAACCAGCACTTGCTTTTTGTCTTCAACAATTTGTGCAGGCTCAACCTCGTAAATCTTACTGGTAAGGAGAAGAACTTTCTTTCTTGAAGTTAGAAATCGACTCCTTATTATGCACTCTTTGAGTGATTCAGAAGACTCAACAACCTCCCAGTTTCCATCAAGGTGTTCAAACGTGTTTTGGAAAGCTTCATAACGGCGGCAACTACTTGCGTCATGATAATACGCCATATCTGCGGAACATAAAGCGAAGCCCCTTCTTCCAAGCCCATTCAGAGCCAAGGCTTTCCTAGTATATCCCTTCCAGCAGTTAGGTCTAAGTTTAATGTACTCCTGGGAATCTGCGAGACACTCTTTATGATTTCCCAGTTTGAGATACGCAGTTGCGCGATTGTTTAATAGGCGGGGGTCTAAATGTTTTGCCATTTTACTTACTTCAAGTGCGTCGGTGTACGATTCTACAGCTTCTTTGAAATGTGCATCCTTAAAAAGCGTATTTCCTTTTAGACGCAACTTGTTTATTTCGGCATTCAGATGATCTTCATTTTCTAGAACGTCTTTTTTATCAGGTGGCGGACGAGATGAGTACAAAATGATTTTCTTTAACAGCGGAGGGAGAGGTAGAGCGTGAGGGAATAGCTTTTTCAGTTGGTCGAGAGTCAAGGTAGCGTTACTGTCAGTTGTGCAAGCATTGAGAATTTGAAACGAAAAATGTTCCGTTTCTTTTGCTTCTTCGTCATGACAATGCACACTTAACTGTATAGCGTTTTCATAAATAATACGTGAAGTCTCATGGGTTATAACGATGTTTTTGTCATCCCTTCCGATGTCGTCTTGATCCAGGAAGTCTTTCAGATGGTTCTGTAGTTCAGAAGCATGACATGTCAACTTCGACCACAAGAAGAACAGAGAAGGATTCGGCACGGCTGTTGATGGTTGTTCTTTAACACCTGCTACGATATCCAGCGGGATTTGATCTGGAGAAGGGTTATCACTGAAGGCTTGGTGAAGAAGATTTACTGCTCTAAGAAGAGAGGAAGCGGTTTCTTTAGTTGTCATTCTGCTGCGGATGACTTCTTGAACAAGACGGTGTATCCCAAGAGTACTCGAGCTTTTCCTCTGAAAAAGGGAAAATCTCGTCAATATATCTACGATTTGACTTTTCATTGGCCAAGAAAAGTTACTGCTTGATCGTGATGGCTCGTCTGTGGAGAGAAGCTGACAGTTGATCAACTCTTCGTGGATCTCGTTCGGTTCCAGAAAAGCAGCAGTCTCCACAAAATGGGAAGCAATATCACCGTGCAATGACTTTGTGACGTAATCAAAATTTAAAAGCCATGTGGTGTGCACTGCCAGTCGATTGTTAGATTCATATTCCCATGACGGTTTTGTCCGTGGTTGTTGATTCAGCAGTTTTAGTCGCTGCATTTTGTACTCTTTAAGGTAGATGCTTATAGGACACTGAAGAGCCTTAATATGTGCACCGGCTTGTTCTAAAGCGAGAGGTAGATATCCCAGCTCACGAACCAGCTCATTTAGGTCAGCCTCATTTTCAGCAACGGTGCTGCCACTTAGAGTAACAAGGAACCTCTTGGCCTCCTCTTCAGAGAACGCCGAAATATCTACACAATGAGTTGCCTCGAGATCTATGGACTGGTTTACCACCTTTGATTCCCGTCTAGTTGTAAGCAGGACATGGCCTTTTGCTTATCTTTTCCATCGTCCTGATCAACGTCATCTAGCACCAAAAGCCATGGCTTTGTCTGCTTTGATATCCATGTAAGAACCTTGGACAACGTCAAATCGAAAGAATCTGCCCATATTCCCAAACGCAATGCCAGGTCATTCATGGAGTTTTCCAACTTTTTATCGTTCTCCATTGAGATCCAGAATACACCTCCTTCGTAATCAGCTTTATGTTTCCAGGCAAACTTAGCTCCCAACGTTGTCTTTCCACATCCGCCAAGACCACAAAGGGCTGCCATTTTTAATCCTTCACTTGTGAATGTGAGGTATCTTTCAAGCTTCTCTATTATTTCTTCTCTACCTGTAAACCATTCGTTTTGATTTGGGGCTTCAAAAATGACATCTATAGGACTGTCTGAAAATGATAGATTGTCCATCTTTACCTTTAGCATTTCTAAATCCTTTTTCATAACTTGGCTTCTCACTTCCAGAGTTTTGCAGATGTCATTTACGTGTTGCTGTCTAGTTTCCCAGTGTAGTTCTGATATCCTTAGCATTTCCCTCTGATCCCTGTCTTTGGAGCTTATCTCTTCCTTAATCATATCTTGGTTTTTCCTCAGCTCCATACAAGTCGATTGCAATCTCTGGTGTTGATTCTTTAGCACCTGTATGGCTCTATTTAACTCAGACTTAAACAGAGCCAGAGTGGAACAAATGCTTTTTATATTTTTGTCATCTTTATCTTTGAAGTCATCTAATGAGTCAGATAGTTGTTGAACTTCTTTACGCATGAATTGCAAAAGATTGTCATCAACCGTTTTACCAAGGCATATTTCCAATCCTGCATCAGATATAAATGCACAAAGAGACCAATAATTAATATTAACACACTTTATAACGTGATTTTATTTTTTCCAGCTTAAATTGTTCTTAAAGATACGACTCAGAGTAATGTGAATTCTCTCTACATGAATGAAAGGTTTGTTGATAATTTAAGGTTAAATGAAAGGTATCTGCAGCTTATTAGGCCCTTTCCACCTAATCTCTATACAACTGTAAATTTTATCTTAAAGCTCCACACAGACAATATCAAACTACCTGAGAGACACTTACAATTAAATTAACACTACGTCGCAGATAACGAAAACGCGTTAACAAATTTGGTAGTTCTTTTCATCGTACCTTGTGTCCTCCACAATCTAAGTTCATCCAAAGTTCTTGTTTCATCAGCAGTGGGAATCCCAAGTTTGCTACGAGATCCTCCATAAGGTCAAAGCAAACGTCATAATGTCCCTTCGTCCAAATTGTAAAGTCACAATGCGCCCACTCGTTACGAACTTTTAACCTCACATCTTCAGCAATCGGTTTGACAGACGCGAATGGCAAAGCTCCAGAGAGAACTGAAAGGGCTGCTGAAGAATCAAAGGCGTCGTCAAATGCATTGAACTGAGCCATGAAAGGTTTCATAAACAGCTTGGCCAAACGCAGTAGTCGTAAAAACTACGGTTAGGGACAGTGTGGTTATTGTTGATACTCTCGTAGTTTAACTTTACAGTGGACGGTGGAATGCACTTCGTGTGAAATGGGTACTTTTGTTTATCCACACCAAAGTGTCGCACCAGATGCTGGTAGAAAGGAGTCAATTCACCTTTGATCTTATCTCTGAGGCATGGAGTAAGGACATGTTGAAGAGCAATACCCACTACTAGCCACCGGCGCTGCTCCGGAGAGCTTCCTGATGAGGGCGACGCCATTCAGGAAAGCTGTTGGTCCCCTAGGTGGATTTAGATAGTTAATTGTCTACAAAGGGGAGATAGATGTGACTCTTAATCTCTCTACTGTGTCGTTTGGACCCTACGATAGAGAAAAAATTGGGAGAATTTAGAATAAAACTTGACTACCATACCACAGTGCTTTGCTCATTTGCAAATCACGTTATAAGCCAACATTTAGGCCGGTACTCTGATATAGAGCTTATATAAAAGTGTCGGAAAAAAATATTTTCAATCATTCGACAGGCTGACCGTTTTTAGGCCGCCGTTACAAATATACAAACTCCTCTGTATCATAATCCAAATTCCTTACACTATTTTATAACAGGAATTACGGCTAACTCTAATTAATTCCCTCACCCGCATCCCCGTATACTTGGTTAATCTTTGTGAGGGGACGTCAAGGAAAAAAAACTTCGACGTTTCTCTTTATTAGAGATATCAGTTCGGAGACTTCTGAAAAACAACAATTTTTTCGTCCACTTGTTTCGACATGATTTTGTTTAGCGTGACCAATTTCGATGCGCAGTATTATACTAGAATAATCAAGAATGGATATTTGCCGTAGAAAGAGCCGCAATGTCTGGGGTAGGGTCGATAAGTGGTGTTGTGCGTGAAACAGCAGCATTTTCGATCCTGGAATATATACAGCTGTTTCGAGAAAGGTTGTCGGGAGAAGTGCACGCGACAATCCCGAAAGTTATTGTGGTGGTTTTGAGTTCACTGTTCTTCTAAGAAATTTGAAAGAAGTGCACGAGAGGCCATGGACATATGTTTGTCAGTGCTAAAGGAAAGCAACAAAAGTAGGTTCGACAGCTACAGTGTGAGGAACAGTGTATTGATCATATCCGATTACTTTTCGGGATTATCGCGTGCACATTTTTTCGGACAACCTTTCCCGAAATAAATGTATATTAGACGTGTTTTGCAAAATAGCTGCTCCTGCACGCAATCCATGTCTAAGATTAGAACCTGACGTTGATTATTCAGTACTCGTTCATATCTTATGCTATGAAACCTTAGATGCAAACTTACAGAACATACAAGAAATATCCTCGCAGATATTGATGCTAAAATGAGGAACATTCTTTGCATTGATAAGACCTTATTAACGAAAATACAGGGTAAATCGTCGACAGAGTTAGCAAAAACGTTATTATGTAAATACCATTCTACATTATTCGACTTCTGAAAGAACCAAATCTGTCACAAGTAACGAAAAAAGCTGTCGATTTTTAGCTTTGCTTCGGCATCTTTCACCACTTCCGGGATTCTCAATACTACTAAATTTACCTATAAGTAAACTTACCTCCTACTGTATTAAGCGTTCCCGTTGTGATCTTCTCGAAAGATTTATCGTGGCCTTAACCAAAAATGGCGGTCCCTCCGGCTACACGCAAAACCGAAAGTGGTTCTTGTCTAAGATCCAGGATATTGAAATAGTTTCGCTCGAACAAGTCATATATCCTCCTTAATGGAATTCACGCTCGATCAGACATTACTTGTTATTGGCGGTGGTAGTTCAGTGAAGTTTTGTTTAATATCCAGCTGGAAAGTTAACAAACCTTAAAATCGAAATAAGAGAGGAAATTTTGTACATTAAATGTATGAAACTGATCAAGTATTTTACTTGACAATTTGGTGACTACGTTTGTTGTCTGGACGTCAAAGCGAGCTTGCCTCATTATTCTGCGCAGCCTATGCGTTTCGGATCACATGGTACGAGCGAGTTTGTGAGTTCGTCTTGGATACGTCATCGGAATCGGTTGACCGAGAAGGACTGGGCAGACGCCGTACAGCGACTGGGCACGAAACAAGACATAAGGATTCGTTTACGCTCAATTCGCCTCTAAAGAAACAAGAAAATAAACTGGGCCGAGATGACTTTCGCAAAGACTTCTGGGACTGTTACTAGGGAGAGGGAATAATATAGAGATTTTGTAAAATCCAACTAGTGGTCTATTATCAATGCTATGTTCTGATTGGTTGAGCTACTACTGGGCTATATGTTATAGCCCCATTAGTAGCGAAAAGCGCGGGCTTTTTGGCGGCAAAAAGGATTAAAGTCTACAACCCCGGACAAAACTGTTGAGACAATTCCATCTATTTTCTAACTTTTGCGCCCTACTCCCGTCTCCCCTAAACACAAAAAGTAAACCCCCTCCCCACCCCCTATTCAAAGTTGCCTTGGTCTAAAAACCAACGTGTATAATTGCCATGCTATCCTAAACAACTTTGGATAAGGGGAGGGGGGAAATCGGGCATTCATTTGGCGGCGGTTTCAGATTTTGCCGGGATGACAGGAAAAAATAGGCATTTTCGCGATTTGTCTCAACAGGTTTTGTCCGGGGTTGTCTGCGGACTGTTTTCGGTATTCTTTAACTTTCATAGCAATTACCTCAAGTTATAGTCCTCTCTTTTGGTCAAATTGATAAAAGCCATTGTTTCAGCATACTTTTTTTTCTTTTGAATGCGAAATAAAATTTTTACAGTAAAAATTGAAGTTATAACACTCTGATTACATGATCTGTCAAATGACATTTACTCTGTGACGTTACCATGGGCATGACTTTCAACGGCTTACGTGTCCGTAGACGCTTTGCCTGCTCAAATGATGACATTGATATGTAATCGCCAGACAAAATGGATCTCTCGAGAACTTCCGATAGTGACGAATCATTTTCAGGAGGCTCGGAAATATCGCATGAATCACTAGGTGAGAGGAAGGTTAGTGCGCTTATCTGGTCACTTACAGTCACGCGAATTTGGCTCATTTTTCCATCCCGCGAGTAATTTGCCTTAGCAGTGATTACGTCGTTCGCCAAGTGTAGTGCAAAGATCCTACACTTAATAGGACAACATTGCCTCAGTTACAGCAAATGTGGAATTGTGTACGAACGGGAATGTGGTATGATGGATCTCTCATTTCTCCACGCAGATCCCGCGGGAACAATAACGGGAAATCCCTTGATGTGTAAGGTGCTTCGATGAGCTTGCTATGCAACAAAAACGGAGTAGTTTTTCTCGCAGACGGTTAACTTAACGAATAAAGTACCGCAGAGGAAAGAAACATCGGTTAACGACGGTTAACAACGGTTAACAACTTTTCTGAAGAAAAACAACAGTTAGACTATCAGTTTCCTTTAATATATTCTGTTAACCGCTGTTAACCGTTGTTAACCGTTGGAATAAACATGTGCGTGCCTGTTAATCGTTTATTTCAAGCGTTTACGGTGCTTTCAAGCATTTTCCGTAGTATATAGAACCTTTTGTTGATTTTCAAGCATTAAAAGACCTTTTACTCAAGGGAAAACTTTTTGACTCTGGTGTAATTGTCATGAAATGCGCTGTTTTTTTTGCCACAAAAGAACTGCCATCGCGTGACAACATGTTTTCGCTGTATTTGTGATCAAAGAGGCATTGCTTTCCCTACACATCCTATTTCTACCCATTTTGGAAGTTCTTCATTAATATTTGTTCTTTTGGCCTTGGTTGTCATAGAAGAATTAACGGTTTTATCGGCATGGATTCCATTATTTTGTCAAGTAGATAATCTGGTATATATGTTGTAAATTGTTCTAATTACACACTCAGTAAACGCGGGTATTGTTAACTCGGTGAAGCTTACTTTTCCAGTTCTACTCTAACTACATGGAGAAAGTTGTCACTGCAACTAAGTATCACTACCTCTAAGGGTTATTTTTAACTGCTCCGCCGCATTCTTGAGTCCTCGTGCATGACCTGCACACCACGCACTATTATTTTTGAACAGGACAGTTGTGCTGCGCAAATATAATAAATACCCAGTCTTATCTAATTTATTCGACATGTAAGCACAATTAACGTTGGTAAAAAGGCCGGAGGTAAGGCTCCTATTAAGATATCATACTTGTGACACACAGTAACTCCTTAACCGTGGCCACCAACCACAATTAATTTCAATACTTTTTCTGTAAAGAGCATGATTTCTTTCTCATTTAGGTATAAGGTTTCTAATTTATGGCTAAATTTCTAAGTGCATAATTAATGCGTCCTAATTGTTTTTATGACACCTTCTTTCGTAGTCACAAAGCTTTAGACAAGTACAACATCTGTGCAAAAAATCAATACCCTCCGACCTTACATCGCGAAGTTACAGCGATTTGAACAACTGGCCTTCACAGACAACCCCGGACAAAACTGTTGAGACAATTCCATCTATTTTCTAACTTTTGCGCCCTACTCCCGTCTCCCCTAAACACAAAAAGTAAACCCCCTCCCCACCCCCTATTCAAAGTTGCCTTGGTCTAAAAACCAACGTGTATAATTGCCATGCTATCCTAAACAACTTTGGATAAGGGGAGGGGGGAAATCGGGCATTCATTTGGCGGCGGTTTCAGTTTTTGCCGGGATGACAGGAAAAAATAGGCATTTTCGCGATTTGTCTCAACAGGTTTTGTCCGGGGTTGTAGCTTTAACTAGCTTATTTTTTTTTATTCTCGATATTTTTGACCAACTAGTTGGATTTTACTAAAACAATTATTCTTCGAGCCCTCATGGCCTCTGAGTCAATAGCCATGGTCAATAGCCTATTGACTCAGAGCCCATTCGGGCTCGAGAAATAATTGTTAAATAGCCAGGGCTAAGAACGAAGCTCCCCATAATATTTATAGTTTGCTCAAACAAAACGTAAAATCGTGTAATGCTAAGAGGCGAAGGCAACGAGAACGGTGAAAAAACAAAAATAGGTCTCATCAGCAAAAAGGCAATTTTGCACGTGCAGCACAGTTTCTTTGTACTTTTCTTTACCGTTGTTTGCACGACTGCAACGTGAAACTTCCCGAAGCTTCCTGGTTACATGTTTTATGGAAGAAATGTTGTACGTGTTCTTGTTCACTTTTTGTCCACTGTCGCTCAGTTTCACCCAGGTGGCCGCTAGCATTTCTCATTTTCTCACCGCCGCTACAAAATTTCATGTTGTTCCTCCAACAAAAAATGTCTCCTTTGTTTTTTCTATCTCGCTCTGGCTCTTTTTCTCGTCGAGCTTCGCTGGCCTGTCGCCTTACTTTCTCTTTTTCTCTGTTTTCCAAATTTTGAGGACATGACAATTAATCTAACGTTAATACTTTAGACAACAGGATACAGAAACAATTTGCGCTTTCCGTTTTCGTCTTTACAGACTCTTTAGTTGTCTCCGCTTCACAAGACGAGGGCTGCCATACGCTTTCCGCCACAATAACCTGACATTTAACATTGGCTTACATGAGGTGGTTGTACGGACGGTCGGCGTTTGTAGGCTACGTCATAACCAAATTTTCTTGCTCTCATAGGTTACCAATTTATCTTAGCAATGGGGCTCCGCCGCGCGCGCTTCGCGCGAGGGAGCTCCGCTAAAATGGTCCAATAGCTGACCGGCGCGTCCCCAATAACGATCCCAGAATGAATTGCGGGACACATTTCGTCTCCAGTCCCCTTCTCGTTTCTGAAGTAGCTAATAGCATGCCAAACGTTCGGTTAATCTTCACTGAACTAACAATATCACGTGAGAAAAAAAACAATGAATGCATCTTAAGTATTTCATGTACAATTTATTGAAAAAATATGATAACAACAACTATATACTGTTTCATAAAACATTCATTTGTTTTCGTGCTTATGCGGCAACAAGCCATACCTTTAGCCAATGAAAACTGGACTTCTATAAATATTAACAATTATAAACGAGTACAGAGAAAGAGACAGTACCATCAGATTTCTTTACCCAAGGAAGCCGATCCCATGCTTTTATGACATGTGAATTTATTAAAGTCAGACTTAGCAATATGAATACTTATTGTTCCATAGTCATAGAAACTTATTTCATTTGATCTTGGGCGAGGAATGCATCGTTTTGTAGCCTTAAAAATTTAAACTCGACAGCAGTTTGTGGAACCGCTATTTTCAAAAACCTTACAAAACGATTTGCCTCATAAATTTTGTTTTTGGCCTTTTGAAAACTTCAAGTGTGGGAATAAACATTAATTCATAATTACATTTTCTTCGCAACGTTTCAAACAACAAAAACGCTCTTTTCCATTTCTGAAAGCGATGAGTTCACCGCGAATCTTGCTTCCAAATAATAATTCTAATAGCTGCAGCATTTACACTTCATAATTTTGTGAAGTGCATCTGTTCGACGGAAATCCTTTACCCACTTATCGGCATTCTGCACTACTGCAGCCGGAAGCTTTAGAGATGAGGAAGTTCTCTGGCTACACAGGAGGTGAAGATTCATGATGGTATTGCCCGAGGTCAAACTCCAAAACCCAGTTTGAAGGCCAACTCTACCACAGATTGAGGCACTGACTGGTGGTGACACACGTACAGTTCACGCGGATGATCTCCTGGTAGAAGCCGTCTAGGTTCAACAGAAGAAAGTATTATGAATTAGCTTTTAATATCACTCACATTTGAGTTAAACGTGCTGGTATATGCTTTCAAGCGCAGTTTCCTTCCCTTCCGAGAAATTATTTTAAATAACACACTCCAATAGGCCATTTCCGAGTTCCAAAATCTCTCACTTTCAAAACGAGGCTAAGTGCAAAAACCTTCTAAGGAAAATGAGTTTTTATTGATGAGAATAAAAACTCATTTTCATATCGATGGCTTGGCACTTAGCCTCGCTTAAAAACAGAGGCTTGGGCAACAACAAATGGCCTATTGGTCAGCTTGCCGCAACAGACGGCTCTTTCACACCTCAAATATATACAATGACGACAAGAAGAAGAAGAGAAAAAAAGAAATAGCAATAAAAAGAAATACGAAGAAAGTAAACTAAAAGGCAACCTCTTACTGCTCCCACCTAGAGCTTGCCTATTTCCTCGTAACAGTTCGAAATCTTTCTAAACGTACCCGATAACCCAATACTTGAAGATTGATGGAGACTTCTTTTGTTCAGTTGCGTTGTCTGGAATTCGGTGGAACATCACGCCATGTTCGACCACATCCTCCACTACGGTACATGTAAAACGTGCGTTGGGATTTTTCTGCTTTAAGCGCTGTTGAAGGGAAAATGATATTACAATAATTGCTTGAATTTGGCTCCAGTTTTCGCATATTTGTGCAAAATACGCATTACTGTTATTACAATCAAAATCAGCAGTACGAGCGGAAGCAGTCTCCTCAATTAACACCTCGTATAAGGTACACTGCCACTTTAAGAAAGAAAAAAACAAATCGCGTCTCCATGAGCTCATTTCCAACTCTCTACAAATCAGCGAACGAGAAATTACTCAGTTATTGTAAAATGGTTTTTCGACATACCTGCTTGTAATAAGGAGAAAATAATCTACGCATGGAGAGACAGGTTTTCTGGAACGTGTTCACCACCTCTGCATGTACCAGTCCTCCCGTAGTGGGCGCATCGCCATCATTCGGACAGACTACAATGCCATGAAATGAATCCCAGCTCACATAATGAAACAAGGTGTTATCTATACCAGCAGTCAACCTAGCATGACAGAAAACACAGTCAACTATGGTCGTGTGTTTGTTGTAGTTTAAGTTTTTTCACTTAAATTATAATAATTATGGAAGCAAAAATAATACACCAAAAAGTCACGGATAAACGTGGACCGCAACAAAACCACAACCTAAACTCACACAAACTGAGAAAGGGTGTACATGAATACTATTTTGCTGTTTAAAATAATATTGTGGGTGAAATGTCAGAACAGAAATCAGCCAAGCTAGAGCGATTCTCGTATAACCTTGAAAAATAATTTCGGTGAGTGTTCGTTATTTGTTTTATCAGCCAATGGATGGAAAGATCAAACCATGGCCTCCTTGTTATCCCGCCAAAGAAAACCCTAATATGGAGAAGGCATTGTTCGATTGACCAATCGTGTTGCAGTGTGACGTCAAAGCAAAGTATCGGCTCAGTTGATTTCTAGAAAGTTCTCGGGCATGAAGTGTTTTTTACCCGAGCGTTCGCTTAGTCAAACAAACTCGACGCCCGTTTATATCCGTTTAATAAACCAATCAAATCGCTCTATTTCCGTTCGTTTGTTCGCTTCTGTTTGTTCGGACATTTTCATATCAAGGTCATACGAAAATCGCTCTATTTATTGGGAACCTCAGTATGAAACCACGACGGCGACGGCGACGGCAGCGGGAACGTCGAAAACACAATTGGTTTAGACCCCATTTACACGGGTCTCGACAAATGTTTCAATGGACAAATTTTTTCCCGTGCAAGCCGTCTACAAGGAACCGTGCAAATTCCGCTACAGATTGCAGCACTGTTTGCCCTTCAAAAACTCACGCAAGGTCTCGCAGGTCCCTTGTAAACGTAAGGCAAATCAGTGCAATTTTTTTTTCCGTTTAAAAATTTTTCCAGACCCGTGTTAACGGGGTCTTAGTTAGCAAAACGAAAGCTCTGCACATGCATCATAAAAACTAACTTCGCCCAGCTAACGAAAACTAACTTCATTGACTTGAAAAAGGTAACGACAAATGCAATACTCGGACGGGGTACCTTCTCGGCTCTCCTAACTGGATGACATGGTATTATAGCGAAAAAGTTTGAAGTCAATGTTTCAGCGGCGTTTTCATTGGCCTCAAGGCCCTTAACATCCTAACTTTGACGGTTATACTTACTTTCCTGTGACCACTTGAGACAAATCCGGCATATTTTCAGGTAAACTCTTTCTGAACGTTCCTGCAGAGTTGAGGGAAAACTGGGACCGCAACGATCTCAGTTTACCTTTGGCTCCGAAGCTGCCCAGACTTCCAGAACTATCGGATCCTGTGCGGCGAAGTACCGAGGGTATACTCCCACTATCATTAGAATCTACTTCATCTGAAAAGCGATAATGTGAGAAGACAAGGAGCTTATTTGATTTGGTGTAACACTGTTTTAAATAACCACAAATGAGTCTCTGGTTGGACTTTCAATTATCTGACTAACTGATTAATTGATTGAATGACTGAATGAATGAATTACTAACTGTTGGCTCACTCCTTGACTGAATGGGTGGTTCCAAACAGAATGATCGACTGATTGGCGAAGAGCTATCAATTGAAACGGAAGCTTTCAAATCTCTTTCGATAAGGCGGACAATTAAACGTTTTAACTTGACCGACCGACTGATGTGAGTGTTATACTTCTGTGACTGACTGACTGACTGGGTGATTGTTTTGCAGAGTGATTGGCAGACTTACCGACTCAATAACTGGCTTAATGGCTACCTGGCTAAGGGACTGGCTAACATTGACTGGACTGGAAAACAAACTGAAAGGCTAACTGACTGATGCCTTGCGCAAAATTCAAAAAAACTTATTGACTGATTGACAACATGTAAATGACTTCCTAATGCCTAGCGGATTAGTTCACTGACAAACTGCTAACTGTTAAGCGAACGTCACTACGTAAGAGTACAAGTACCTTGTAGTCTCAAGTTATCTAAACTGCCGTGCTTTTTCTGTGAGCTGGGAGTGTCGGAGCCACCAAAGCTTGAAGACGACTTCTGTAGCATTGTCGTTGGGGGACTTATAAGCAGGGCGTCAGCTGAGGCCAGTGGAGGATGGCGAGGGCTCCGTAAACTGAAAAAAAATAGTAGTATATGTACAACAAAGCAATAGGTAACGAATAACTTGCGAAGGTATAGCAAGTAATCCTAGTACATGTTCCGTCCAATCCTAAGGTTAGCACTCCATGCCGCGAATGAAGAAACGGGCAGAGGGCTGTATATCCGTGTCGAATTCTGATTCCGTGGGTTGTATTTAACTCCTTAAATGTAGTTTTCTTGGGCTACCAGAACGCACGATATTTCACGGTATACCACTCAAAAACAGGAAAAGGTCAGCAAAGGAGCACACTAATATTCAACTATTTTGATCACGATATGAAAGCCGTGGGCTTGAAGTCACATCGCTGTGAAAATCTTTTTGAAATGTTCGGTTTTGCACATTGAATTTTTAATTAATTATAGTTAGCAGCTTAAGTCTGTCACTAACTTAAACAGCAAGCACGACCACGAGTTGGCTGACAGAAATTTCTATCGAGGCTTCGCGAAAGTTTTCCACTTAAACAACTTAACTGAAAATATCTGCTCTGACAATAAAACCTAGCGTTTTTATCACTGTAAATTCTGTACATAGAACGTAAAAGCTGTATCTACGTTTAATTATGCACTGTACCTTGCTTCACAAACAGAGGGAATGTCCATGGATTCAATTTGATGCAAAGTGTTTTTGACTTGATCCACATAGTAAGTATTCGGTGGAGGGTGGCCCTCAGCCCTTCATAATAAATAAATAAATATATAAATATAAATATAACATAATATAGAATCAACAAAAGGAATGAAATGCATGTAAATTTTACCATAACTTATTTACAATGCGACAGAGTTATAGCTGAGAAAGTACACGAAGTCAAGTGAAGGCTTCGAGCATAACACTAAAGACAAAATAATAATAATAATAAAAAACTAAAATGTTCATATGAGGCCTTAAACTACTGTCCGTTTTAAAAAAAATAAAAATCCAAACTTTTGCCGATCAACGGCATCAACAGGGATGAGTAAATATTTCACGTAGCGCTATAAATATATACAAAATTGGTCTAAGGTAAAATGTGTAAAAGTTGAATACAATATACATGTCACGGTCTAATGACCAAGTGCCTCTGGACAAGGGTCTCTCTAAATGCATAAAATATTGTCTCTAAAACACTAAAGACAAAATTATGATACATGTAGTAAAGTTACTTGCCATTCAATACATGTAACTTCCTCAGTATGCTTACCGTTTTGAGATACCTCCCGCCTCTAATAGGACACACATAAGCCAATGTTTCTAAACAAAAAATGTAATAGTTTATTCATAATCCTAATTTATCAAAATTAATGTGGTTTTCTCTATATTTAACTTTGTTACTGCGATAAGAATAGAAATAATATTATAGATAAAAAGTCCCTTTACTTTAGGTCAGGGCTACAAAGCAATACTTCTATATACATTTATTTTTGTACACTTAGGCAGGTCTGCTGGTTGAGAGATGCTTCAGTAAATCTCAGAATCAGTAGGCATCAGATTGCTGAAGGAGGCATCAGTTTAAGACAATACTCACAATCACCAAAGTGAAAAACAAGACAAAACAGGGAGCAGTTTAAGTTTAAAAAAGAAATCCACACAACAATAGTAGCCAAATTCTTATAACAGCACCCTTAGCTGGTATTCAACCAAGACACCACCTGTAAATTGTCAGTGCTCTTGGAAATGTTCCTACATGTTATCTCTTAGCCTGAAAACTCCCCCTGTATACCACCACCCTCCCTTTTACCTCTTTTCTTCAACTAATACTACATAAATCACTATAGGCGTGTCTTACCATGCCTACTATGAGCAAGAAATATCTTGCTGAAGGTTCACGATACTCTTTGTCCTCTTCTCTTCTGCTCTTAGAACTTCTTCTTGTTGGAAAAACCTGGAGACAATTTATTTTCAAGTAATGTGAACAGCGCTCGAAAAACAACAACCACAAAACTTGAATTCTAGCACCGCGTCCTTAGGCCAAGCACTCACGTTTGTTTGCCAAGGGCAGCTACTTGCTTGTCTTAGCTTATGATTTTGTTAGGGAATGACTTGCCTGGATCCTTGCCCATCAGGCAAGTGAGCAAATTAAAAGTTTTGTTGCCCAGTAAGAAAAACTACCTGTCCCAGACAACCAGACAGGACTTAGTTTTGAGCCCTAGTGAGCAATCAGAGTGATCTTCCCAACTTTGTTCTCAGAGTTCTCTCCTACCCGTCCAGTAGGACAGAGAACCTTGGAACGAGGTTGTGATCTTCTTGCTTTTGCACCTACATAAATATGTGTAGGGGTGAAAACCAAGGATATACAGTTGGACCCCTACCAAGCAACCACCCTCAGATGAGGGACAAGTGGCCACTTTTAAAAAGGTTCTGTTTACAGTGACTAACAAAATCTGACAAGACCATACAGTGGGGTGACTGTGAAAGGAACCACATAATAGGGTTAGACTGCACTGTGAATCAATAATATATACTTAAAAAGCCGGTAATTTAGCTTAATTGAGCAAAGATGAAAAAAGAAAGAAAAGGAAAATTAATCAATAAATAAATCAATAAAAATAAGAATGAAAATGAAACAACCTACCTCTCTCCAGATGACAAGTTGTCCAACACGCTGCTCTGCACTCATGGCCAGTAAACAGTGATATTTACAATATAATACAACATCTTCTAAATCTTCTCTTGGTAAATGATTAGCAACTAAATATCCCTGCAAAGTGGTAAAAATGGGAAATTTATTTAAAAATATACTCAAACAACAACGCTTTTAGTTGATTTTAATCATGGAAACCAGCTCAAATAAAATATTTAGCAGATCAGTTGTGCATAATTTCTAGTATCATGAGGACAAATTTTTGCTGCCGACATTCACAAACTCAAGAACCCCACTTATTGTTGTTATTTTCTACAGTAAATTCATAGTGCATAAGATTTTTATACAGGCAATAGGAACAGATTATTCACAGAATGTCGGAGAAAAATTATTAATCCATACCTTATAAAATATGCTAGATCCTAAAATTGTATACAATCTTCTAATTTGAAAATAGTCATCTGCCTGAAGGGAAATGAAAGAAAAAATGTAGTAGTAAAGACAAACTACAGAACCCCTCAAATGTAAGTTGGCTTTAACTTGTTCACTTGATGTTCTTATTGGATCAAGTGCAATCACTTCGGTTGAGGTTTCCACCTTAGAATTGTTTATGTTTTTTTTTTCTATAGGATGGAAAACTTGAAGGAATCACTGTCACGGGATAGAACCAACTTACAAATTCTCCATAATCAGCCGCTTCCAATTCACTGAGGCAGCAATGAACATCCACCTAAATACAGCATACAAACAAAATATATTAAAAGGAATGCTATGAACTGACTGCATTATTAAAGAATGCATATGACTTCTATACAAAAACTAAGAATTCCTAGTTGCCCAATATCAAAAATAAGGTGCCAGGGGCCTTGGGTGACGCTGGAGCACAGCCCTGTCAGCATGATACATACTCTACATGTATATCAGTAAAAAAAAAAGATAACAATTAAACACTCAATATGAATTCAAGAACCGTTCTCTTCCACTGTTAACATTAACAGTGTGCTCTTTCCTTTTTAAGTAGAGAATTTTCATAAAAAACAAGAAATGTTATTATAACTCATGAGGACAGACTGACCCAAATAATTGAACAATATGCTTTCATTTAGTAACTGGGTGCTCAGCCACAAGCTTACCTCTGTAGTTAAAGGTAGATTCAGCCACTGGACACCAGGAAAAATATCTGGTAAAGTCACATTTTGGCCATCTTTATCTGCTGCACCAGGAGGCTTTCTTAGAGCTTTCTCAAACAACAGGGAGAAAAGGTGGTCCAGCCATGTTTTGTTTATCTTGTCAGAGAATGCCCTGTACAACAATGATACAATGGCGTAAGAATCAATCAAACATTAAGGATCAAGGTAAAGAGCTCTGCTGTTGTCACTGTATGTATGTTGCAGTACTTGCAAAATGCAGTTGCTAAAAAGACACCTTCAGTTGCTGCCTGGAGTTGTTCAATGGACAAAAAAAGGCGCCTTCTGACAAAAACAATTTTCATGCCCCCCTCCCTGTACCTTTTAATTGATCCAAATGAAAGTGATAAAATCTTAGTGATGTCAGCAACTAAGTTCTGCAGATACACCAGAGGCAACCTGAAAAGTAATCAATAGTATTATTAGCATAAAATGACAGTCAGTTTAAACTGGAGTAAATAACAAAGTAACAAAATACCTTTCTGAAGGCATGGCAATGACCAACACATCTCTGTCCACCTTGGAATACACAACGTGAACAAGTTTCTTGTCCAGCACCAGTGTAGAGCTGAGAAAGTAGAGCAGACCAATTTTCATGTCAATACATGTATACTGTTGATCTCAGTCATAAGAACCATAGCCCACATAGCTAGTGGGATTGTCAGTGTGAGCAAAGTTTTGGCAGAGGAGTTGCAAAGTCTGTGTCTCATAAGGGAATGTAACATGAATAATTTTTATTCATAGATAAAGACAAAGACACTTGCCCACCAGTATAACCGTACATGAGGAACAGATGCTTGATTCTGTTATAGTAGTGTCCATTTATAGAGGATATATTATTCAACTGCACCACCAGGTCAAAGCAGCAAAAATCAGACCAATTAAACCACACTAAAATTATCCAAAGGATTGTTTAAGTACAATTTAAGTATTCAATTCAAGTACAGTATTTTTAAAATCATAATTTTAAACAGACTGACCTGTTTGCTGAGGTACCAGTTACTGATGACATAAGGTCACTCAGCGTCAAAAACATTCCCCTTAGAGCAACTAATTTTGAAGCTGCCTCTGATTTTGGGAACTGGTATAGAATGTCCTAAAATTAAACACAGCAACATCAAGAAAAATAGGAAATAAATTTTATTTTACTATTCTGTGTGAAAATAGGACACAACAATCACCTCGGTATAATCTCCCTTTTTTTCTGTGTGTAGTATAGAAAGTAAATTAAGTTGTTTCTTGTCTTGTCTTGCCAAAACCAGAATTTGGTTTGTCTTCAATATATAAAAAACTTGGAAACAAAGACAATTCTGAATCAAACTAGCTTGAATACTGATTCAACCTAAGAATGACAAATTTTACCTGCAACATACACATGTATGCCATACCTGGTCTGGTTCATTATCTTCTTCACTGGAGGTGATTGTCAAATACAATGCAACATGAGTAATGCTCTTGAGATCAGGTTTGGAAGGTGCTGGTGCCTCTCCACTTATCAACTTGATGAGGTGACTGTCATTCTTGGGTGGGGTCTGGTGACGTATGACTGGTGAGGATATCTTCGGCTGGACAAGTCTTTGTATTTTCAAAGTAATCTGAAAGAATTTTTGTAAAGGTTATTTTTTAAGTCTGTCATTTAACAGAGAAGGTACATCGACAACTGAATTGGCTTAGATATTTGGCGTTGACAGACTCTATTTCCCCCATTGAGAAAGAGATGCAGAATAACCTTAAATTTGCATTTACATGTAAAGGGGTATACACTGTAGAATGGTAAATTTGAGGCTAGGGGAGACTGCAAGACCCAGAAATAAGCATTTTTATCAAAGCTGAGCTAAAGACTCTACATCTAAAAAACTCTCAGTGCCATAACTTATTTTGAGAGACTGGTACAAATAATTAAAAGCTAAATATTTTTAACATGACGATTTTTAAACACAGACTGAAATAGTTTCTTTCTGTTTACATTTTTTGACGTAACTGTATTCTAAACCACTGGTTAAATTTGTACATTTTCTCAATACTGATAAGATTTCTGGTGGATTACACCACTGGATGCTAGTTGAGATCACCTCTGTGAAATTGCATCATTTGCATAATGACAGAGGGCCTACTGATAAGCTTTACTGCAAAGTGCAGATATGTCACTAAGGGCCAGGGGGCAGGGATTTCCCAGGGGATGTACTTCAGATTTCAAGCGACCGGGATGATCAAATGGGAGCAAAAATAAAACCCGACAAGAAAATCCCTAGGGCTTCCAACAAAACCCCAAAAAGTCCCTGGACCAAAAATTAACCCCCCAAAAAATCCCATGCTGAATTTCTGAACCTTAAAAATTTCTAAATTAAAGTTATTTCCACAAGAAAGGTTAGTTTGCACTTTGCGTTACGTTGAAAGTGAGGGTTTTCAAAACTCGGGGATTTTTGAAACAAAGGAGAATAGAATTTCAAACAAGGAGAAAATTGAACCATCAAAGAGATTTCTGTATAACTTATGCAGATACATGTATACGTTACCTCCATTGGGCCCGTGATGGCAGCAAGAATTGTATGAACATTGCTAGAGTTAAGATCCAGTTTATTTAATGAAAGAAGGACATCACCTGAAAGATAAAAAGTGTAGTAATGACATATATTATCAAAACTTCTGCTAATTAAACGTACATTAATGTCCATGAGCAATAAATGTGTATCTGCCAACTGTTTCTGAGTTGAATGCATGAAATTTTTGTCTTGTCAGAGCCACGATTTCTGAAAATGTCCCTGGGACTACGGAAGATTTCCAACAATTTACTCAAGATTTTCAAATGTCGAAAATGTCCAAAGATGTTCCGACGAACTTTCAGCATTTCCGATAGTATTTAAAAGGCAACAGTTTAAGCGTTTTGTGATACAGTTAGGACCCTTAAGTGCCTTTTTTAGAATGTTTTCAGGAAAATTGAATTCAATTTTTTCATTATTTGTCATTTGATAAAGAACAATTCGCCCACTAGATTTCTGAGTTAGGGGTGAGATCGATGTCTTTAGTCTGCAGGCATGAGACTCACACAAACCCGTGAGAGTTTCCAGGTATAACTGCCCACAAACTCACATCACAATACATGTGTTGTGTGACAACTCAAAAGTTACATAACCATACTCAAGGTTTCCCTTGAAAATATAATTATGATCTAAGCATGCATACCTATTCTCAAATCTCCACTGCGCAAAGCAGGCCCATCAGGAACAAAACCCTTGATATAGAGCCTTGATCCTGAATAGCTATCAGTCTGAGACAGTTTTCCAGCTTTATCTCTCCCAGGAATGATACCAAGCAACGTTTCAAAGTCATTCTTTGATCCAGAGTGAGCCTTTCGAGGAGTTACAATCAGTTGTACTTCTTTCGTGAAAAAGCGCCCAGTCAACCTGTTGAGACTATTTATTCCCTCCACGACTCCATAAGAACTCGAATGTTTCAAATTCTTTTCATTATTGCCTTTATCGTCGGATTTGTCCCGCTTCAACCCGGGAAATATTTTCTTCACCGAGTTCAAACCTCTAAGCTTCCCTTTCTCCCGGGCATCTTCAAAGCCGTTGTCAGAAATGTTCAGTTGTTCCATTGAGTCCAAGACATCGTTTGGTGATGGTTCTTTGAAAGGTTCGATGTAGAATACATCTCCTTTCTCCTTAATATGATCGGCCCATGGCGGTTCCTCGTATCTGAAACGGAAAAACCAGGTCAAGTTAAATGTTGCGAGAGAGGACTTTATAAACCACTTGAAATCTACATAAATTTCACGCTACAGGCATAAAAACAAGCCCTGTGGATCGTTATCAGAAGTCATTAGCGCTCTTACGTTGTTGTGTAAAAATCTGTTTGGTTTATTTAATAACTACAGTAGCAAAGACACGAGAGTTTTGCAAACATTACCCAGGACTGACCTTTTGCAGAACGGCAGGACAAAGTGAGATAAACTTAATTTGTAATTTAGTTTCATGAGCTTAGTGCTAATGATGATGCCTTTTTAATTATGTTTTGATTCCACCGATGGAATGAGAACAAATTATAACGAAATTAAAATAACAGAACATTCATTCCTACGCCAGAGCGACGACAGTTACTGCATGCTGATACTAAGCGATTCCATCGAAATACAATCGTTGCATATGAAAACCAATTGCTTTCCCTAGAAAATACTGTCAATCGCAACAAACTAAAAACCAGACCAATATGTCATTGGAAGTTTGAAATAAAATTGCATACAACGACTAAGATACAGAACTAAAGAGTCGCACGAATAATAATTCATCTTTGCAGGTAAAAATATCTTAATGTTGACAGCAGCTTACACTGGTTCGCGAAAATACAGGTCTTGTCTCGAACAGTGCTCGCATTCCTCTTCAGACGACTCATCTTCGTATCTTGAATAATGATTGTAGTATTGACCAACGAACATATTTCAATCGCAAGCTTGCTCCAAACTCACTCATGTTATTTCGTTCTGTGCAACCAAATCGTCCGCCATATTCAAAGTGAAAACAATCGGTTCCCCGTCGAGTGTGACCCGAGGGATCCGCACAGGACACCGAAAAAAAGCAATCGGGCCGCAGTCGTTTTGGAAAGCTTAGCAGCAGAGGCCCTTTCGCTCGAAAACAGTGATAAGTCACTGAGAAAACTAGCTTTATTGAAATTAAAGGAAATTACGTCTTCATCCGCAAATAAAAGTCATGAAGGGTCACTAAATCCATTAAGTCCTGAACAATTTTTTGCAAGCCTAATTTGGTGGGGTTTCCGGAAATGAACAAAAGATATTTTGATTTTATTGGTGAACACTTCTTTTGTGACTTCAAGTATTCTTCTTCAAAAAAGAACAGCTTAATTTTTTTTCGTCCACTGGAATTAGTAAAAGGAAATGATCTAATGGTGGAGGGAAGCCGACAAAATATTACAATATCATGACTAAATCTTTATAATCTCATTACTTAGGGTAATGCGATTTTTAAAGAACACGTGCAAAAAAACATACTTAAGTTATAACTTTTTTATTGCTTGTAGGCAAAATAAAGCAAACGAAATTTTGCAATAGAGAAATTTGAATAAAAGCTATATTGATCGCGTAATATTCGAGTAGTAATGCAGTGACAGGTACATATGACAATGTAATCGTTGGTTCACTTAGTGAATACTGGGACGCGATATCTATTGAGGATCAATGAACCCCAAGACAACTGCCTTACCAAAGTAAACAGGCGATGTGAAAAGTTGATCAGAATATCACGTAGCAAACCCACGTAATTGTTGTTTATTTAATCTTTAGGGTTCACGCGAGCTCGCATTGTCACGGGCGCCCACCCCCGGCACCTTAGGACCGGAGGTTTTTTTTTCTCGAGGGACCATCAAAGTCCAGTCCTTTCATATGTTGACTGTATGTTTGAGATATAGCTGTATCGGGAAAATATCGATTGTCCATGAGAATTTGATAGACCATAAAACCAATGAAATTCTGCAAAGTCCTATCTAGCAATGAGAGATACTTTCAAGCACTAAGGGATAATTACCTGAAGGGGGGGATGGGTTGGAAAATTAGATGGGGGCGTAGGAGAAAATGACAACAAGGGATAGGGGGTTGGATGTAAAATTTAATACATACAGGGGGGGGATTACAAATTTGGCAACTCTAAGGTGTGCTGATCTATGAACTGTTGTTTTCTTATCTGTCATGCAGTAGGAAAGGAATGCCTCTGCTATATATGTTAAAACAGTGCTACTTTATTTGCACTAGGATTTATAATTAATAAAACAGGAAACTTTAATTAAAAGTGAGGGGACCGGATTTACTCTCGGCTCCAGACCTCGCCCAGCGCCCAGCTGTCAGAGTCAATTCAAAATGGCGGCAAACTTAATTGGAGCGCCCCTGCAGTCACGTAAGTTATACCTGCCAACTTTTTCTGAGATATAAGCGTGAGAGTTTTATCCTGGGAGTTCTGGGATTTTTGCAGACGACACGATCATTTCCGAAGATTCCCGAAGAAGTCCGAAGTCTTCCGAAGAAGTCCGAAGACGTCCGAAGTCTGCCGAAGGCGAAGTTATCGAGAAAACGCTTATCCACAAAATCAGAGATCGCGAGGAAGGTAATTGTTATTTATTCATTTACACATGGTTTTCGTTCCTAACATGGGTCTGAGTTAACATATTTTTGGAAATTGTGTCAAGCAAGACGGTAACAACTCACATTCTTCAATCAGGCGTGAGAAATTGGCCCGCAGGCGTGAGCCGGCGTGAGATCGAAGTTTTCAACCCGCAGGCGTGAGACTCACGCCTTAGGCGTGAGAGTTGGCAGGTATAGTAAGTTTGTCTTTCATTCATTTGTTTTAAATTTTATTTGTAGGTAAGGCTTTCTTGCGTAAAAAGGAGAAACTAAAGCGGCCCTGAAATCCCCTTTACGAAAAAAAATGTTTATCATACGGCATCTGATTTATATGGCATGCTAGCATGCTGATTATTGATCGAAGTCGACTCATGTTGTTTAAGCTTAAAGTCCTCTCAAGGACTTGTTTTATAACTTTTAATAGACCTATTCGGCTAACTCAATGTTGTACCCAATTCAAATCTCCCGGGGTTAAGATTCTTTGTGTTCTGTATGTGCATTATAATCCCGGGGGCGGCACTTTAGGAATTTCTGGGTGGGGATGTGCCGCTGGGAGCCTGGAACCCTTAACCTTTACCAGAGCAAGTTCAGCTGAATTTTGCTACCCTATACTAGAGTAAACTCCCCAAATCCCCCTATCCAAGAGTAGCTGTGTACCTAGTCTAGATAAAATCTTCAACCAACTGATCGGTTTCCTGAAAAATGATACCCTACTCTAGAGCCAAACGCTCTGATTTATATACCCTATCCTAGAGTAAACTGCTTGAAAACCATACCCTTCACAGCGGCACATACCTATATAGCCCATATATGGCAGTACCCTCCCCCCCTCGGGATTATAATGTGGCATTCACATTTAAATGTATGGAAATTCCTGAAACAAAAAGTTTTATCCCCAAAGAGTTTGAATTGGGTACAACATTGAGTTAGCCGAATAGGTCTATCATAGACTCATAGAGCTAAATAGAGAGCTGTGTTCGTCAGATTATCCAGTTTTTGTGGTGACCATTTACATTAAGTTAATGATCATGAAGTGTTTAACAATGACCAACAATAACTGAGCGCGTGTATGCAATCCATTTTGTTTTATACGTTGTATTTACCTAACAAGAAGTGGTGTTGTCCATCAACGTTTAAGGTTTATCTAGTACTGAATACTGGTATCAGCCACTTGAGTGTAGTGTAATTACCATGAATTGGTGCCGGTCACTTCACTTCTTGGTTTTCGATACAATTCCTGGCCAAACAGCCAACATTGTTTTAATAACTTCCAAGCGATCATTAAAGAAAGGGAATTGATTAAATGGTTTAATTTTGAGACTTAAGGGGACAACCTTGACTCTTGACTTTGACGTTAGGAGTCTCTCAGAGCCTGGACTACACAGAGTTATTAATTCAATAGTCAAGTGAATTTTCACTTCATGCATTCTAAGTTGCTTATTAAACTGTGATGATGTTCTCTGCATTTGTTTCTTCATCTCAGTTCAGATATATGAAATTCTATATATTCATTATTAATATTTTTATCTTCATCTTTCCCGGGTATGTTACAAGCCAATTAAATGACGATCTCCCCTTTGGCTTGCTAGCTCAATTGGTTAGAGGGCTGCTCTGGTATTGCTGAGGCCAGGTTCAAATACCAGCAAGCCTGAATTTTTCCGGGCTTCTCTTTTTGCAACTGCATGAATTCTTTTACTATTATACCATGCATTCTGTTCTAGAGAAGACATTTTGCATTAAACCATAACTACATTGCATGCCATTCTGATGGTCCTGATTCATTCCCCCTTTTTTCTCGACACACCACTGTCCCCCCTCACTGTTGTATCTAGTTAACTTTTCTTTGCACTGTCCCCACCAGTCTGAATGCCTGGAACAGGTTAAAAGCTGGTGCGATTTGGGTTTGCATACAAAAATAGCCAATGAACTCACTTCATTCCCACAGTGTTGTAAGTTTATTTTATGTCTCGCCCAGTGTAAGGGAATCCAGATTCCAGGAAATTTACACTCGTGGAATCTGGAATCCGGGAATATTTTGCTCATGGAATCTGGAATCCCGGGTTTTGGAATCCGGAATACAGCTCAAGGAATCTGGAATCCCACTAACTATTGGAATTCAGAATCCAAGTTCTACTGACAAATACCAGAATCCGGTACCTGGAATCCGGAATCCACAGTGCGGAATCCAGAATCCAAGACTGTCCTGGATTCCCTTCCTTGGGGCAATATGTGCTTGCCAATGGAAAACCTTACCAGCCCCTTCCCCTCCCCCCTCAGTCTCCCCCTCCCCCTTGGGAAAAGTGCCTCTTTCTACAGTCCAGCTGCTGAAAAAACAAACCTCATCAGAGGGTAGTAATTGGAAATTTTTTAACTTTCCTAATAACTACCTGATCAATGACAACAATAAGCAAACAATGTCTACCTGTTTTCAAAATATATGAAGTTAGCATCAAAAAGTGCTGTTGGTACACCATAGTAATAATAATGTTGTTTTTTTTATTTTGCTGTTGTGCGTAAAGTAATCAATAAATTTAATTAGCTCGTTTACCTGAGTATGGACGACGTTTGTTTGGTCTTTTTTCGCTTTCTACGCCTTTTCTGTGGCGGCCATCTTGACAGCTTTGACGGAGTGATACGGCCCGGTTCAGTGTGCATCTGTTGTTAGTGGAAATTCTGCAAGACAGAAAGGTTTCTTAAAAAAGACAAGCATTTTATCAAACATTAGTTTTAAAAAACTACGTTTGCAATCCGTTTTAATGTTAAAGTTTGTCCTTCCGCGCCTTCTTTTGTGAGTTTGCTGCGTTTTTTATGCCTCAGTTGAAAATTTTTAGCGGGTTTTCTTAGGTTTCATTCACTGTTTCAATTTTGATAAATTACATGCCACAATTATGGTAAAAAAACTACTTTGTCTTACGGGGGTCAGTCCCTTCTTTTCTTTCTTTTATATATAGCAAGCGCGCGGGTACGGCAATCGCTATGAAGCGAGGGACGATGAAAAAGGCAAAAGACACGAGATTATTGATAACTTACAGTACACTGACATGCCTTTACTGTGTCATTATCCAGAAAAAAACATGTACGTCACTATTGCACCATACAAAGCACACCAAACATCACGACAAAATGGTTTTACTTTCTAGAATCAAAAACCTTAATAAACATAAGGAAACTACTGGGAGTTTTTATTTCCTTTTGGTCCTCCAGAATCATTGATCAGGAACCCTGTCAGCTATATTCGGCAAGAAATACGAGTGATATTCATCATTTATACCACTGGTCCACAAAATGAAGTGATTGTGATATTGATGAGAGTATTAAATGAGGGAAATGATTACGAAATGGAGTGCTGTTGCCTTATCAAAGACCTCAGGGTGGTGGTGCAGTTTCGTTTGGTACCCATGTTTATTTTTCAGTGTTATGGATATTAAATTCTGCGATTTTTGCTGATTTGATCAATTCGGCAATTAGATCGTGGGTGGCTATCGTGAATCTAAATATTGCGTGTCAGTGTAACCTGTAATGAAAAGTTTTAAGAGGGTCAACTTGTAATTAATCAAAATTGGCGTTTCTACAGCAGGTAAGTGACACTGACGAAAAAATGTAAGCTGAAACTGAATCAAAAGTACCGGTAACGTAATTAATTTTAAAACTGATAGTTCACCTCAACCAGACCTTTCAAAATCGTCTTAAAATACTGTCTAACAGACACGTAAAGAAAGACTGCATGCATGACTTTAGGTTTGGTGGATTGGGGCGGGGTTACTGTCATGTATAGACTGACTATACGTACAAGCTTGAAGGGGTTTTTATGACTTTATGAAGTTTAGTCTGGGATAGGGTATAGCAAAATCAGATTGCTTTTGGTGCAGAAAAGGGAATCATTTCAGTAAAAATCGATCATTGCCGCTAATTGAAGATTGGACTTTTTGGTTCAAAGAAAGTATGAGCTACGTCAGGGAATTTCAGTGCCCAGTCTAGAAGAGGGTAGAGGGTATTTCCAGCTGAATATAATTTGATATATAGATTACGGCATCCGGCCGCCTGCTTGCAGTACACGCCCACCCATAAATGTACAGAGAACCCGCATGATTCCTAATCCATTAATTACTCCTTTACCTCTCCTTTACGTCAATGTTGCTTAAGTAACGTTAAATTGTTTTGTTCGAGAGGGTTTTCTTTAGATATTCAATTTCTTTCTTGGAATGAATGGAAAGATTATGCGTAACGGAAACCATGCTATTTCTGTTTGTCACGCTCTCTGGTACTGTTACTTGAGGCTAAATTTATCAATTGAGTTGGCGACATGGGAGTCGAGAATCTTTCCTTTTTTTGTGAGTCTGTATCTTCTTTATTTGTCATCGGCACTTATGTAAGTTACAGATAGTAGCAGTCAGTACTTTAGTGCTGGAAATGTAACGTAACATAAATTTGTTTACCCTCAAAGACCTCAAACCTCCTCTTAAGGAGCTCGTATTAAAGAAATCGCTTAAAAGGTGTTCATAAGGGTTGATTTTTGTCAAGAGGGAAAAGCAGGAGTCCCTGGAGAAAAACTGACGTCGATCTCGGGGCTGTTGGACAACTACAATTTTAAGTGGAGAGAAAAAAAGATATTTCCAGGCAGGCCTTAGCCACTATATCGATACTACTAGTTTAACTACTAGTTTAACTAGCTACTAAAAAGATGATAAACAGACAGTAAATTTTTTTTAATGTTCTGTTTAGCACTGCTTTGGTACTTGAAACCCTATCACTCCCGAATACCCGGCACAGGCCAATGAAAAACTGCAGAAAAAGAAATTGTAAAAAAAAAGTTAAGAAATAACTGGATAGTGCAGTTGTGCTGGGCAACAAAAATCTACCAAAGAGATTTCATTTAAATGGTAACACCACACGATTTCGTTCACTGATTTGAAAGTTAGAGTGGCAAACCAGCAGATACCTTCTCTCTTACTTCTGAATAAAATACCGTCTCGTCAGTTCCAACAGCGACTTGTTCAGGCTTCAGTTGTGGGGCACATAAGTCTATCTATTTGAACGGCCGTGTAAAGGACAGACCTTTTCCCAAGTCGAGTTTTTTTAGCAACACAGTCACAAAAAGGAGCAACGAAAGTCTCGAAAAGTCAGTCATTGAAGAAGTCTTCAGAGTCTTAAGTACAGCATCACTGGCCAGAGAAAAACTGGCCTCAAAAGGTTCATGTGTTCTTGTTTCCTTCTACAGATCTTTTCGATCTCTCTTCCTTCATCTTTTAATAATCCGTACATGTACGCACACGCTGTGTTATGCTGACCCCGGGCAGGTTCAGGAGCGTCATTTCGATGACAGTGTATTTGAATCCACGATTTTTCAGTAGGCTGATTTATGCCCGGCTATATTTCAACAGCGGAAAGGGACTTATGTTCGGAATTTCCTGACGAGTACGAAAAGTCAAGTCACGAAGTCACGCAAAACTTCGTAGAGCAAAGCCACCATTGTTTTTCTGATTGCTAAGTAATACTAACTAAAGATAGGAAAAAGGGATTAGCCAGAAATTATACAAAATATTCTGACTGCCGTTCAATTTTTGGCTATTTAAGCCCTTCCCAGATGCCGGGCAGTTAGTTTAATTCCAAATCGTTCAAGAACTACTTTTCAAGCTGTATTTTGGATCTCAGGGTGGGTCACTATGACTTGCGGTCTAGGAGTTAGTACCTAGAGCTGAGATATGAGTATGGGATTATTGTTCAATAGTTCCGGTCGGTCTCTTATTAGTATATATATAATGCACTAACACTGCCCACCCAAACGATTTTACTGTTGAGCTGTATTGGTCTGAATTGACCGCGATTAATGGATTTCTCTAAATTTCTGTAATTCTGTTTGGCTCGTAAAGGGGGAACTGAGGTTAAGATTGTTGGAAGGAAACTAGCCTTAAATAGCCCGTTATAACTTTGAGTTCCCTTAGCTAGTCAAACCAACTGCTTTTGGCGACAAAACGAATAAAGGGAGCTCTCTGTGCAGAATATCCATGCACTTGTAACAACTTTTACTACCAGAGAAGGCGGTCCCCGGTAGGATTTTCGGGATGCGGGATCTGCCGTATTTGAAGGCCTGTATCCGGATCTTGAAGTAAAATGGGCGAGATTCGGGATTGAAAGTATGCACGAGATGCAAGATGCCGAAAATAACCATCGGGATTACGGGATAGAGCGAAAATTTTGTTTCGGATGATGGGATTGAAGAAGCCCTTTGGAGATCCTTCAAGGATTTGATTCTAAAAGATAACGAAGTGATTCTGAACCAGACCGCCAAATAAGAACTATTACATGAGGCTTCGATAAAAATGTTGCCGTTGATATCTTCCGTTTTCTTCTTTATGTGTGTACAATGAAGCCAGACTTTGGGACCATTTCTCGCTGATCGAGCTTCTTTAGCCAAATATATCTGTAAGTATACAACTCACTGGACCGGCACCATTTTGAGACTGGGTTGAATATTTAACGTATGTTCCACGTTTGACTTTCTTCGGGGGCCAAGCCATGAAATGGGTAGAGAACATTTCCGTGAAAACTAATACGTAACAAAGTATTAGGTTCACCGTAGATGGGCCATTAATAATCATAAACAAATGTTACAACTGGAGAGAAGAAACTGTAAACAATAGGGCGCTCACAATAGCACCAATAATGAAATATTAGCAGTAGTATGTTGTTAAACGCTGAAGAAATACCTTATACTGATTCCTGTACATAAATCCCATTAATATATGTCCGGTGTTAAACATTGTTCATCTTTGTTCCTTGTAAAGATTTTGTTTTCAAATGACGATTGTTTTATACAGTAAGTTGTGGAAAGAGATCACTTTCAAATGTCAATCGTTGAGATCAGCTCAAGAACAAGCATAGAAGAGGACAAGACTGTGTGAAACGTTAGAAGTCCCTCTGAGGTCGTAAATGTCACTAATGTATACTTCCGGAAGAATTCTTAGCAGTCCTGGTGGTTTTAGTTGCGTTTATCGGGATCAACCCAGCTAAAAGTCCGCCCTGACATTTCAGTAAGCTAGAGCTATTATAGAGAAATCTTAAAACACGATCAAATTTTAAAACTGAAGACAATTCACGATGGTGAATTCGTATGTATGAGTTCTTTGACTGACACGTGTGGGGTCTAGGTGTTCAGTGCATATCCGGCTATAAGTGGCGATAAGTTTATCCTCGCTACATCCCATTTCTGATAAGGAGAGCTGCATTAATAAGACGGGCAAAAAGGGTCGAGCTTGACGGAGTATTTGGTACGCTATTCCAATCTCGAGTTGTCTAGAGCTGTACTGAACTTTTAGCATTTAGGATTTTAGCAAGCTAGCAAAATGTGCAAACCTGAACCCATTGTGGACGGTTGCATTAATGGATTTTACGTTTAGAAATTTTAAGGCGTCCGAGAAGTTTGCAACGCAGGAAAATGACTACACCGAGGAAAACCGAAAAATGTTAATTTCACGATGGTGACGTTTATCAGACGGAACTTCTTAGGAAAGGCAGGGGAGGATCGATGTGCGCGGAGGAATAATGACATGGCCTCGTGTCAAAATAGTGTGTAAATGAATCGAGAAAGAACCTAGCCTCCCCGCAGACGTCCTTTGGGGTTCGTTTGTCACGCATTCATTTCTCCCCCACGTGGGGGAGAAATGAATGCGTGACAAACGAACCCCAAAGGACGTCTGTGGGGAGGCTAGAAAGAACCCTAAAGTTTCAGATATCTCGGTTGTCCCAACTATGTATAGTGAAATATATCTGTGAAGATAAACAAGGATACTCGGTAACAGTCGTAAGGTCATAATTTATGCCATAAAAAGGTAAAGCAACAATTTGAGTTAGAGAAAGCAGTCGAAAGTGTTCAAGTCTTAGCATGCTCACAGAGCATGATGCGAGAGCCACTTTTTAATAACGAGAAACTGTAATTGTCTATTTTTGTAAAAAAGGCTCTTTCAGAATACAAATTGAATACATGGTCGAATGTCATAGATCCATGGATACAATTGAAGCACTACTCTAGCTATTGATCCATTGATTCTACCCGTAGGGCCGCAGTACCCACCCGTCGATATCTGTGCAGCCTGTTCAAGGCGTTCAGTTAGTGAGGACAACTCTTGAAAGGCGAGCAGGAAACCACAGCGAAGGGGGTGGGGGTATGGAGAGGGTGGTATTTAGGTATTTAGGTATTTTATTTATTTGCCACACAATTACAATAATTACTTAAAGATGCCAAAAGAAAAAAAAAATGTAGGAAGAGATGGCGAGGAGGCCTAAAAGAAACTATAGAGCTTATGTTAATTAGGCCTCCTCAATTACAATTTTTCGAATATGGCATAAAAATTACGGCGACGGGTACAATATAATATCAGGTGAAAAATTAAACTAATCAATATTACGGAAGTTTACATGTACAAATGTTGAATATTAAAAGGCTTTTTCCCAAGATTTTTGTTGAAGTATACTAATAATTATTACAAATAAATGCCTTAAGTGCTCTTTTAAAGGAGAAAGGTGAGGAAGCGTTGATGATGTTGGTGTTTAAGGTGTTGTAAAATTTAGGTCCTTGATAAAAAACGGAAAATTGCTTGGTTCGAGTACGACAGAAAGGCAGACGAAATTTACACGAGTTTCTTGTATTATACGAATGAATTTGACTTTGTAAGGTAAATTTACAATGAAATTTTAAAGGTAGAGTATGGTTTTGATAGGAGTACATGAATAAGCCTAGTTGTATTAAGTATATATCAGGAAATTTTAAGATACCAAGATTTTGAAAGATTGGATCAGTATGTGCATCGAAAGTGGTTTTAGCTATAGTTCTGATCACTCGTTTCTGTAAAATCTCAAGACGAATAAGGTTAGTTCTGTAAGTAGAGGCCCAAACTAAGTTGCAGTAAAAAAGGTATGGATAGACTAGAAAAAAATATAGTGTTCGTAAGGTTTTCGTGGATAAATAGAAACTGGATTTACGAATAATTCCTGTGCATTTAGAAACTTTAGTGGCGACATGTGAGATTTCAGATTTCCAATTTAAATTTTCATCCATGATTACTCCCAGGAAAACTGTTTCTTTTACTTGATCAGGGTGCGAAGGAAATCCTCCTTTCTTCCGGTTTTGCCCCATCCACCCTCCATTTCGCGCCCCTCGCCACGCACTATCCGAACGCCTGGAACTGGTGAATCTCTGTGTAGATCCATTGACCTGGCCTTCCATTCCGTTTACTGATCCGTCGACCCTTTAGCGATCACCGGGAACTATCGATATGGTCAACTAATCTGTCGATCCAAGCTACATTTCCATCGACGTCTTGAAATCTACTGACACTGACCCATCGATCTATCGATCTACATCGATTTATCGATCTAGCCAAACTCCCTCAATTCACTGATCCTCCAACCCACCCGAATCTATATCGATCCGATCAACTAATCCATCTTTTTTTTTGCGCCCACTAATGTAACTATCCTATCGATCCGATCTTCCGATTCATTCTTCCCACTGATCTTAACTATCTTATCGATCCGGTCTATCGATCTACCGATCAAAAGATCCATTGCTCACACTGATCTAACTATCCTATATCGATGAGATCTACCGATCCAACGATCCATTGCTCCCAGTGATCTAACCATCCTTTCGATCCGATCTGCCAATCCATTATTCCCACTGAATTAACTATCCTATTGATCTACCTAGCCTGCATAACAGGCGCTTTATGAGCCAAACGAGGCATTTTACGAAATCCAACGATCCATAGCACCTACTGAAGTATCCTATTGATCCGATCTATCAATCCAACGATCCATTGCTCTCACTGATTTAACTATCCTATTGATCCGATCTATCGATCCAAGGATCCATTGCTCTCACTGATCTGACCATCCTATCAATCCGATGTGTCGTTCCAAGGATCCGTTGCTCTCGCTGATTTAACCGTCCTATCGATCCCATCTACAGATCCATTGTTCCCACTGATCTAACTATCTTATCGATCCGATTTATGGATCCATTGTTCTTACTGATCTAACTATTCTAACGATTTACCGATCCACAGATCCATTGCTACAGCCGATCTAACTATCCCATCGATCTGATCTACCGATCTATCGATTCATTACTTCCACTGACCTAACTGTCCTATCGATCCTATCTACCGATGCAACGATCCATTGTTGCCACTGATCTAACTACTTTAACAATCCGATTTACCGATCCATCGATCCATTGCTTTTACCGATCTAGCTCTCCTATCGATCTGATCTACTGATGTATCGGTTCATTGCTTTCACTGTCCTAACTATCCTATCCGGCGATCCTATCTACTGATGCATCGATCCATTGTTCCCAGTGGTACATCGACCCATTGCTCCCACTGATGTAACTATCCTATCGATCCGATTTATCGATCCAACGATCCATTGTTCTTACTGATCTAACTATCCTGTCGATCGGATCTATCGATCCAACGATCCATTGCTTCAATTCCACTGATCTAACTATTCTTTCGATCTAATCTGCCGATCCATCTATTTGTTGATATGCCTATCTATCCACGTCAAGTGATCTACTGACTGGCGGTTACTAGTTTTAGTTCAGTCAGTTGTTTTTCATCCATCATTGGAAGTAGCCCTCCGCCCCTTTAATAGACCACTTCCCATTATCTTTGTCATCCCTGACTAAGTCGAACTGCCTACCTCTTCAACTATATGTTATCGCATCAGTGACAAAACACCCTGCCATCCTGCTTTGTCGTATGTATGCGACGACTTACGGTGCGTACTCCGGATTTCAAATGAAGGGGATGATCGAGTGGGGGCAAAAATCAAAACCCCCAAAAATCCTTAGGGCTTCCAACAAAACCTAAAAAAAAATGCCTGGGCTGAAAACTAACCCCCAAAAAATCCCATGTTGAATTTCCGAGTCTTACAAATTTCCAGATGCATTATAATGCGTTAAATATTGAAACGGCCGCACAGCAAGTTTGGTTGTACTTTATTTGCAGAACTACGCGTCCGTGGCACTACCTTTGGATAAACGCTTCTCTGACTCGGTATATCGTTCTATCAAGTAACTTGATCAAGGGCAAAGAATGTAAAAGTGATTTTACAAAGTTATATCAAACATGGGCTATGAGGTCTATGAGATGCTTATCAGAGAAATAAATCTTAGCATTCCATTCGAAGATCTTACATAAAATCTCTTCTCACAACAAAGAAGAAAAACCGCCTAAGATTTATCTGTTCGCAGAGCAAGAGTTTATGTACCCGACGTTTTCAATGTTGATGGTGTATGAAACCTCATTTCGATACCTTTTTAACGTTTTAAGAGTGTCTTTTAAGTCTGTGTAATTTTTAAATGGCCGGAAATCATTTGAAGCACTCTTTCCCGGTCCCTGTGTCATAGTCCTAGTTGTGTAATTACAGGTTCGATAACCATGTTCTTGATCATGTACCCGACGTTTATGTACCCGACGTTTTCAATGTTGATGGTGTATGAAACCTCATTTCGATACCTTTTTAACGTTTTAAGAGTGTCTTTTAAGTCTGTGTAATTTTTAAATGGCCGGAAATCATTTGAAGCACTCTTTCCCGGTCCCTGTGTCATAGTCCTAGTTGTGTAATTACAGGTTCGATAACCATGTTCTTGATCATGCACGATCTTTCTTTGTCTGTACAACACTGTCCAATTAGGGATACTGAAGGAAGGTTATAATACACAGCCTAACTAGTCGTAATTTGCAGTAGCTACACTGGGCCACTTGTGCCAGACTGTTGGGGTTAAAACGACTGCTGTTTGTGTAGATTCTTCACTGTCGCCGAATAAACAGTTGAACTGTTGGTTGTTGTCTAAGCTGTAGGAATGTACTTTCACTTCTGTTCACTGCCGTTTACCATCTTGAAATAAGGAAATACTCGGAATCTCGGCGTACTAACATTAAATTGGCTCTTACGAAAGTACTAGGGGTACCTCCCTCTAAAACTGGCGAAACGGTATCTTAATTACGGCGTGCGGTAGCTAATTGCACTTCACAGCAATACCCAGCCTACAAAACAGTTCAAAGAAGGGGTGGGAAAGGCCGGATAGTCAAGTTCAGACGTGCTGGAATCAAAACACTCGATTAAACTGTTTGACGGTCCTTTGATAACTCGAAAGGATTAACTCTAAACGGACACTTCGGCGCAATTCCAGTCATCTAACGTATTTAAAGAGTTTGATTTTTGACTTCATTAGTTGCACCCATCTGAAATTCTCAAGTGACTCAACTACATAAAGGCACCGCTCTGACGCAACAGCACTCTTGACGTTTCAAAAATGAGATCAGCGGACTGTTTTTTGGTCGACATAGGCAGAAATCATCAAGAATGGTACCATTCAAAGCAATGTTAAAATGGAGTAAAATTCCTACAAAACTGAAAATGCCTCTTGATCTCGTGAAATTAGGTTAGTGATTGAGACCTTATTTCTAGACATTTTAAAAGGTCAATTCAAAGTTATAACTCGTGAATGTAAGTGAAAGCATGTTTGAAGATTTTTTTCACATGATTGCGATACAGTCAAATCATTTTGCCTTTTTGTGACCAAAAACGGGGGTAAAAAGAAAAGTTGTGCGGAAAGTATACAGTCGACCTTCTAATGCATATCTTAAGTACAACTGCCGCAAACAATAGAGAAAAAAATAAAAATAAAATAAATAAATGCCGGAAACAACAGCAGCAGCAAAAACAACTGAAGGTTTCAGGTTGACAATGATTTATTCAGGTTCACAATTTAGCTACCAACCTTGGGTGCTTATCAAGTACGCCCTTTTCGATTAAGTTGTGTGTTCATTCTGATTGTTGTCTGAGCTGTAGCTCTCGTTTATGGCAATCGCTTGAAAAGCCCTGTAAGGTCAAAACCACTCTCTTGTGTTTTATTTGTATAATCCAGGATCAGTTTAAGAACGACTGATACACTCTGTGTTGAACCTTTTGGGCTTTTACGTAACATTTCTGAATACAGATGCAATGCACATTAGAGACTGAGAGTTGCTCAACCTCAGTATCAAAGTTACCGCAAACTCCTTCCGATTGACAACAATTTGGATTGAAACCAGAAGCAATTGCTCTTGATCGATTTTTATTTCTAAAACTGTAGCCCAAGATCACTGAAACTCAAGATTTTATGTGGATTGTCGCAGATAACCTTTAAAAAGGATCTGAATTTGTTTTGTTTACATATGGATCGGTGCAAAAATGTAGAGCCCACATATCACATCTACTGCTACTAGAAAACTAAATCGCCGATCATAAAAAATGGCACAATTTAACTTATAAAATCTTAAAAATCATTCAAATGTGAGGGTAAGAGATAACAGTTGCGCTTATAGAAAAAAATTGCAGTATCTCAGAAAAGATTTGGATTTCAAAAATGTCTGTTATTTCAGGGTACTCAACAAGCGTTCTTGCGTAGACCTGACTGCGATAGGCCTGTTTACCCATTGCAGAGTATTGCTAATTGTTTTTAACCTCATTTATGACCAGGTAGAAAGACATCATTACTGTTTTCAAATCACAAACAAATTGATACTTATTTTCGAGCCAATATTTGCAAATTCTACTGCCGTGCATTTCTAAAATGACTTCCTTACAAAAAAAACCGCATGGGGGGCCGAGAGTAAACATCGCAGGGTCTGATTACCAAGGTTCTGCTCACGAGAAAGCTCCCTGACATACGCACATTTATAATTTAACAGAACTGCTCTACATGTCTCACACTTTAATTCTAAATATAGTACCCTTATAGAATATTTATCTTTTGCCTTTAGGTGCGACACTGGCTTTACTAAATTGGGCGAAAAGTTCCTAAGGAGAAACAGGGATATCCCACGGCGGCTAGTGCTGTGGGCAATGCAGAGATATACTCCACCCACAAGCCTAAACTGATGTTTTTATACCGAAATTTCTATCTCAAAACAACTTCAAACAATTTACCAAACTCTAGTGCTAATACATCTCTACACCATGCAACATACCTTCAATGTGCAGGCGAGTTCACGTTGTGCGAGCTTCGATAGCACAGATAACACTAACTCCGCTAGCTTCCTGCAGCAAACTCGTGATGCAATGAAGCCCACCGAGTAATTAGATTTGAGTTAACAGATAAGTTAATCTCGTAATCCTAGAATAAAACTGATAAACCCATTTGTAATGGATGAGCTTTATTGGACGAAGACGACAGGCAAGCGTGGTTATTGTTATTCTTTTATATATCGCAATTGACGAGAATCTTAACGAGTCAGGTGAAGAATGCCGATAAAATCTAGCGTAGAAAAACACTGATTCATCATACGATATCTAAAAGAATGTAACTGGGGGTACCAATTTCATATTAGAGATACTTTTCTATGAATCGCCTGTTTCATCACATCCGACGATGGAAATTACTACGAAAAATCGTCTTAACAGACACTAAGATATCTTTGTTTCCCTAAACCAGTTAGTAAAAAGCTAGAGAATGTCAAAAACTAAGATGGTTAATACAAACGAACCTTTTCATCCTCTCGTCTGATGCAAAAACCTTTATAGTTCGTTGTTATAAGATTTGTCTTTCGTTTACATGTCCGATGAAAACGGTCGCTGGTTCAATATTGTCGGCCTTTTACTTGGTTTTCATTTCGCTGGCTCTTAAAGGAGTGTTTTGCACTCGTCCCGGCAGTAAAGGGTCTTTGAGACACGGGTTCAACCGTTCATAGACCCGACGGGTATGCCGTGCATGCTGATGAGCCCCAATAAGGGCAAAACAGCTGTCATAGCTGCAACTGCGCGGGTGAAATGGCTTGCGCATACGTTAGGTACTGGCCAGGCCGTGGGTTGGTGTATGTGTGCCCCTTGCTTTAACTTTGTCGTGGCGTGCGCCTTTCTAGCTTCCTATTATGCAACTGCAGCTTAGTGAAAACGTTTTTGCCAGTTGCTATCACCTTTAATTTGAACTTTTATTATACGGCTGAAACCATTAGCAAGCCAGATAAAGTGAATCCTGCGTTTGCGGCTACTCAAGGGGGCATGAATGCCCCATCTTGCCCTCTAGGGATGTCCTGCGTTGGTCCCGCGGGGAAAAGTTATCTTTTTGGCTCTTTATATTGGCCTCGTTCTTTTGTTGGGTATTTGTTGACCAAGACGTCTCCCAAAAATGGACACCTAGGGTTGGTTCCTGACGTTTTCCAGCTGTTTTCTTTCACCGACTTTAAGGCAAACATCTCGCTAAGAACGGACATGAAGAGTTGGTCCCTGCCGTTCTTCTATCATATTCTTTAACTTTCTACACGGCAGGCACCTGCCTAAAACGGACACCTAGAGACGATTCTTGCCGTTCTCCAGATAATTTGGCCTCAATAAGGCAGACACCGTTCTTTACCGTCACCAGCATGTCCAGTCATTTTCTTTGACTTTCTACACGTCAGACACCTTCCTAAAACGGACATCTAGAGTTGGTTCCTGTCGTCTCCAATTATTTTCTGTGACTTCCCAAGGGAGATACCTTCCTAAAACGGACACCTAGCTAGAGTTGCTTCTTGCCATTCTTCAGTTATTTTCTTTGACTCTGCTCGCAATAAGGCGAACACCTTCCTAAAACGGACACCTATAGTCGGTCCCTACTGTTCTCCAGTCATTTTCTTTAACTCTCTATAAGGCAAACACCTTCCTAAAACGGACACCCAGCGTTGCTCTCCATGCCGTTCTCCAACTATTTTCTGTGACTTTCTATAAGGTAGACACTTCTCCAAAGAGAACACTTAGATTTGGATTTTGGACACTTAGATTTTGTCAGGCGGACCCCACCCTGAAATCAATTACGGCTAGTCTTAACGGGATCAAGGGTGGCCTGAGTTGTAGAGAGTTGACTGTAGTTATTATTCGCTTTGTTGTTTTGTACTTATCTGTATTTTTTCATGTGACATGTTAACGAACAAAACCCGAGATCACGTGATCAATGTGCATCTGCCCACAAGGAAGTTGAAATGTATATGCAATGTGTATGTTAAGTTAACATTGAAATCTCGGTTGAAATCGATACCTTTCGGGTTAAATAAAGTTGATCCTGTGTTCCTGTTTTTAAGTCCCCAACAAAAACTCTTATCGCAGTGACCTATCTACGCTGAGGGCATTTAAAAAAAAAAAAGGAAAAGAAACATTTCAAAATAGGTTGGGGTTATGATTTGCATTTTCACAAAATTACTGATCGACGTAGCGTATTGTTGGTCACTTTACACTTGTAATGTGTAATAAGGGAGCCGCGTTTACCATTCATTTATTTATATTTTCCGTTATAGGAGAAGATGTAACCCTTTAAGCCATAGGAATGATCGGCATCAAAATTCATCTTGTGATATCAATGCTTCATAAACAACAAGATGAAACTGGTTGATGATTCATCAACTTTCCCCCACTATTTGAAAAGGAAACGTATAGGGAGAACAAATGAGAATTTTAATTTTGGTGTTTAGGGCTTAATAAAGGGTAATTTTTTACTGATGGAGTCCTGAATCCTGAGCGCTGGATGCCAAGCAGCATATACTTAAACATAACTAGGAAACTGAATGTCTCCAAGTAAAGATGGTGGATCTTGTTTATCAAATTGGTATGTAAGAGTCAGATGTGCTCTTTTTAGCAGTTCTTTGTTTATTGTTTATAACAGTGGTGCAATGTGTGAAAAGGCTAATCGGAATGGCTGACCTCACAAATAGGAAAGGATTTTCCTGACAAGACTTCGAACGCTTATCCAAATATACTTCCGTTAGATTATTCATTTGTGGTTAATGGGATAAGTTACTGCTGTCATTTTGCTACGGGCTTTTTTTTTCTTTCGCAATATCGTGAAGTCACTGTCCCTGGAATTTTGATCAGACACTCTCCAAGGGTAAGGCGGCGACGAAGGGTTCAGTAGTGACTCTCTTTCTATTTTAGTAATGGTCAAATTCAAACTTGAAAAAACAAACAAACTTCACCTCGCAAAACACCGATAAACACTCACACATTCACTCAGTGTGTGAAAAGGTTATACATGTAACACGAACGAATTTTGATTTTGGAGTCGGAAGAAATCTTAACCTGAGCCCCAAATCACTTTAGCTGTGCTTGTTCAAACGTTGAACCTGTGTGTGTAAGGTATTCATCAAATCTTTAAGTATCCGATAAAAAAAAGCTTTATGGGACCAGTTTTTTTTCCGCCACTCTTTAACTTTGTTTATTTTGGTGAATACTGCCACGACACCACATATTGTGTTTTTGTTGTGATATAAACCGAAACATTTAATAAACGCATTTCCTCTCTAAACACCTTGGCTTGAAACTTATCTGTTTGATGAACTGAAATTATTACTGTATGAAAGGGGACGTTTTTCTCCTCACAAGAAGTTGATGAAATGGCAAGAGCGTTTAGTTGAAAGTTCACAGTAAGATACAACTGAACATTTCAAGGGATCAAAATCCTTTTACATGATCAGTTACAGTCTTAAATCTTAACCAAGTTTTGACCTTCTGTTTTTTAGATATTTAGACTTGGTATGAGACAACAGGGCGACAGCCAGTATCTGTGGTTTCGGAACGCTGAGGTTAGACGAACATACGACTTGTCGCAGGTAGGTAATTAATTAAGAGGCCGCCCACAATCGTAACTATTCTTGGCTAGTCGAGATCCAGGATTTTACTACATATTCAAACCTAATAATTAACAGGCAAATTTTCTAAAATGTTGGTACGATTTAAAGCACTGACCATGCCGACGTAGGATGGGTTTTTGAGCCATGTTTAATTAGAGTTAGGAGATCAAGAGGAAAGGCGGTCGTAGTAGATGATCTCAGTTCAAAACCGTACAAATACTGGGCATTTCCTAGTAACATATACCTTAATAAAATATTGCGTTTGCGATTAGGCTCGTTATAATGGAATAATAACAAGCTGAGAAATTTGCTTTCGAACGTACCTTCAACAGTTCTCCTTGCGAGATTCCCCCAGTCCAAAAAATTCCGAAAGAATGTTCCGTGTCCGATTCGTGTTTCACCCGTGACAACGCTTGTGCATGTTCGGATTATTTTAAGAACAGTGCAACGTATGCGACCTCGAAGGACAATGAAGTGAGAAACTCGGTAAACAAATCAAGGGCTGAATTTAGCCTTAAACTAACAATCAAGAATCTTCTTTGACTGAGAGGTCAGGTTATTGCCTTTCCAACCCTGACAGAAATACACAAACGAGAGCCAATAACACGACAGTGAAAACTTACCTCCAATGAGAAATTTGACAATTCCTTCCTCAAAAACTTCTGTCGTCAATAGTTAACAGCTATTTTATAAGAGCAAGGATCCTATTTGTCAGATCTAAAACTAGAATGGAACAAATGGCGAAGAAACGATTACCTCCAGAGCAAATAAATATTAAACCTTATTTTACGTTTTAGTCTCAAGCTTGCATGCGGAATAACTTTGAGAAACTTAATCTATGTCTAGCACTAAACCGGAATGAAAAAGAAAAATACTTCGACTAATTTGTTGCTTAAAGCGGTTTTTCAGTATGTTTTCCAAGGGGCTAAAGACAAGATTCCCCATCTTTATCAAAATCCAGTATTGACATCAACTGTCATTTAGTTTATTGTTAAGTGAATCATTAGATTAAGAAATTGAGTCTCAGAAAATAAAGTCTAGTTCAGCTGGTATTGTCGTCGACTCAAAAAAAAGGGGTCGGAAAGATTTGATGCTAAAACCAGGTGGCCTGTCTGTAGCGATTTAACATAAATCCGCTAATCGTTTTTCCACAGCTAAGGCTAACGAGAAAGAAAAACAAACAAACATACATACATACATACAAGCAAAAAGGGGAAATTGAATTTATGTCATTCCTTTTCAGCCCAATCCTATAAAACGCATAAATCTGGTGAAAAATAAAAGAAAACAACTGGAATAGGATAAGGACAGTTGTAAGAGCTGTATTACACCGTAGGACGCCATGATTCAGTGTGGTGAAAACCACATGCAAGCCAAAACGCGTATTACATGACGTCACAAATAAGAAAAAAGCATGACAGTTATGTTATGAATTAATGTTAAATGAATATTTAACTTTATTGCTGACATATCAAATTGCAGACACTATGAGACCGTATTATTTAATAATTGCAGTGTTAGGCAAGAGTAAAATAAGTACGAAAATTATTCCTTTCAAAATTTATGGACATTATTTTAATTGATTGATCTAATTTGTAGAGGTAGAACCATGCAAGATATTTGTTTCCGGGAGGGGTCCAAACGTCTTCTCAGTTGAAACATTGTTACTGCAAAGCGTTTCCTTTATTTTTCCTGACTGTTACAAGTTATTTTCTATCGGTAAAATTATATTTATTTACCGGTACTACAGTACTTATGGGCGAACCCTCCCAGTTAATTATTTCAGCACACGCCCGCTAACGTTGCTACCGCCGCCAGCTACGCGGGGCTAGATCCCGCCTGGTTCCCGGTGTTGTTATCGTCGGCAGAGGCGCGATAAATTTTATTTACCGATGTAAATACATAATTTCTTTTCTTTTCCTTTTAGGTTTTTATTAATTCTAACCTGATTCTAAATTTTACCGAAAACCCTTGAGGTACCATAAATCCTCTATTAAGGTGACTCGACCCAGTTTTTTTTTTGGGGGGGGGGGGGTACCATCCTACTTTGAAGCTCTCTGGTATCCCCACCTTTACTTTTATCGCAAGTCTAACACATAGAATAGATAACATATAGATCAATCTACAATATAGCATAAAATTTTTGGTGATCGGAGTAAATGTCACGTGGTTATAATGCCACGCCCCTTTGAGGTCTGAGTCGAAAATCTGCAGTTGCCGGCATTTTTTCGTGAAAATCTCTCGGCTACACATAGTGCGCATTAGTGCCTTGCGCTGAACAGAGTTTCACCAAAATCGCAAAGACCCAATTCAAGAAATTCAGCGGTTTCCAAATTTAGGTCATAATTTATGCGAAAATGATAAGCAAACTTTACACGGATTATATCTAGTAAACTATGAGATTCATCTCTTTATTTTGGGCATCGTTATAACAGATGGGTCCTTGCAAGTCAGAAAAACGCTTTAGAGCCTTGTAAATATGCGCGATTTCGAGCAAAGCAAACATATAGAAATTACAGTTTTCGCTATTTGTTGACGTTTGTCAGCGTTTAAGAGTCCTTCTCACGAAAAAAGCATTTTCTTAAAAATTCGTGGGTTTTTTTCCTTCAAATTTTTTCAGGGCCACAATTGATTAACTAACTACCCGGACTCTGAATTTCATGGTCATTGAAAAACTGTGACATTATCTTCTATTAGCCCAAACTTGAGTAAACATTGAAGATTTTTAGCGTTTTGGCTGAGTTTGTGCTTTGGGAGTTGTCTATTGTTTCTAGCCTGTCATTATACAGCATTTTTGTTCAGCACGCGTGCAATGACCGCGCTTGGCTGACTTCCGAATGCTCACCGAGATATTCCCGTCACGAGTTGGTTTAATTATTGGCTTGCATTAAACCTATGAAAAAATGATATTTTTTTAATAGTAAGTAGATTTAGTGTGTAGCACTTCTAGATTTTTTTGCAAAGGCACAAGAAGCACAGGGGCACCCAACGGATCTGTTCCTCAAAATATCTGTTCTTCATGCAAATTGTTGCTGGCTGGGAAATGTGGAAGAAATAATAGTCCTTGGAAGGAAAGTGTTGCTGGGAAAAAGATAATTCAGGGTGTCAGAGGGGATTTGAAGTCTAGAATAGCTGCTACGGGTTACTTGTATGGGTTGCTTACCACTCAAGATCTGAATTGTGCCCTATGAAACTTCCCAGTAAGTCAGGTTGCAGGTTGTAAGGTTGCTGGCTGGGAACTCTTCCATCAGTCTTGCTGGGAGTGAGGAACAGATAATTTTTTTCCAGCAATCTCCCAAAATGCTTAAAATAGTCTCAGAAAACTTTATTCACGCTTTGTTGTTGTTTTTAGGTCTTTTTCTCAAAATTTCCCGTTGGGTGCCCCTGGAAGCACGAGAATTGATTAAAAATTGTGAGTTAAACCTCTATGTATCACGCGATGGCCTGTCTCACTGTACCAAAATTATCAGATCTCGGTGTGCTGAACAAGAATGTTGTATAATGACAGACTAGAAACAATAGACAACTCCCAAAGCACAAACTCAGCCAAAACGCTAAAAATCTTCAATGTTTACTCAAGTTTGGGCTTATAGAAGATAATGTCACAGTTTTTCAATGACCATGAAATTCAGAGTCCGGGTAGTTAGTTAATCAATTGTGGCCCTGAAAAAATTTGAAGGAAAAAAAACTACGAATTTTTAAGAAAATGCTTTTTTCGTGAGAAAGACTCTTAAACGCTGACAAACGTCAACAAATAGCGAAAACTGTAATTTCTATATGTTTGCTTTGCTCGAAATCGCGCGCATTCACAAGGCCCTAAAGCGTTTTTCTGACTTGCAAGGACCCATCTGTTATAACGATGCCCAAAATAAAGAGATGAATCTCATAGTTTATTAGATATAATCCGTGTAAAGTTTGCTAATCATTTTCGCACAAATTATGACCTAAATTTGGAAACCGCTGAACTTCTCGAATTGGGTCTTTGCGATTTTGGTGAAACTCTGTTCAGCGCAAGGCACTAATGCGCACTATGTGTAGCCGAGAGATTTTCACGAAAAAATGCCGGCAACTGCAGATTTTCGACTCAGACCTCAAAGGGGCGTGGCATTATAACCACGTGACATTTACTCCGATCGCCAAAAATTTTATGTTATACTGTAGATTGATCTATATGTTATCCATTTTATGTGTTAGACTTACGATAAAAGTAAAGGTGGGGATACCAGAGAGCTTCAAAGTAGGATGGTACCCCCCAAAAAAAAAAAAAAAAATACTGGGTCGAGTCACCTTAAGCCGCCCTCTCCCTTTTCAGGGGAAGAAAGTTAATAAGCCCCCCTCCTCTCCCCCTTACTATTCTTCACTGAGAATTAATAATTATTCCTCAACTCCGAATAGTCTCTGAGTCAAGCCTAGCAGTAGTTTAACCAATCAGAACGCAGAATTGACGATAAACCACTAGTTGGATTTTACTAATATATGATCGACTGACGACTGTAAAACGTCTGTGGACTGATTTGGGATGTTTTTTTTACCAACTGAATTAAGGATTTGTTATGATCCTCAGCTGCATGACCTCCTTTGCTGCTTTGCATTATAGTTCTTTATAGATCGATACCATCGTCTTAGCTAGCTAGATTAAAGCAGTCGCCCTCTCAAAAAAGCCCCGGTCCTTATTACCCCCCCTTCAAATGTGTTTGAAATAAATAAATCCCCTGGGGTCTTGATAGAGGATTTACGGTATTTGCCTCACCACCCAATGTGCCATAACAACCTGAAAAGGTTGAATTGATTGTCCTGAGCGATCCGGAGGTGCGTCATTAAACGATCAGATACTCCAATGACGTGACGACCAACAACCTTACATAACCTGACTGATGTTTTGAAAAGGTTCCGGCAAGTACCTATTGCTTTTATGGCTGACGTGGGGCTGATGTTTCATCAATTCCGAGTCGCTATCTACCATTGCCATGCATTAAGTGATTTCTTTGGTCGCTGTGGCTATATGGCCGGTAACCGGTCAAGATTTTCATAACACTAAATGGCCGGCAGTCCTACATTAACAGTAAATTTCACAAAATCGAAAGATTCTAGCTAATCTAAACTATCATATGCCGATTAAGACAAGTCAAGCGATCTTGAAATGCTTTATAGATCTCACGTCAAGAAACCGTGTTTTGTGACACTTAGAACTTTTTTCAGCTCGACTGCCGGTCAAAGTTTTCAAAACACTAAATGGTCGGCAGTCCTATATTCTCAGTAAATTTCGCAGTCCACTCAATGGCAAAGAACGAATACTGAAAACTCGATATTGTTTCTATAAGTCAACGCAAAGTTAAGATTACCTTGTACAAAAAAGCTTTCTTGTTTCATCATAACGTCCACAAGATACTGTTCAGTTGAAGTGTATTTCAGCTCCAGAAGGAAACTAACGCGTAGAGACTTTTCCCGCCGGTTTTCC